TATATATATATATATATATATATATATATATATATATATATATAAAAGGACTTTGGTCCTAGCTACAGATCTTCTTTACAAGTGCTGCCTTCTCTCCTTCACTAGATGATTGCTGCCAACGTGCTTTCCAAAGAAGAGTTTCCAGACTTCGATGAAGAGACTGGCATTCTCCCGAAGGTGGATGATGAAGAAGGTAGCCTGCCCCTGGGGTTAGCTGCGGGACTGGGACAGTGATTGCCGAGGTGTGCTGCTAGAGCAGCTGTTCTTAGTTTAACTGAGTGGGTGTTCGTCATTTGTTCCCTGGGCTCACCACTCATCTCGGGGTAGAAGCGCATGCTTGCACGGATCAGTGTACCTGTTGAATTCGTTTTACTTGTTTTGGTCCCAGTACCATTTTAAAAAATATTTTTTAAAAGGTTTATTTTTTAATTCAACTTTTTTTTTTAAGGCAGAGTCTCTCTATGATGTAGCCCTGGCTGTCCTAGCACTTGATACGTAGACCAGGCTGGCCTTGAACTCACAGAGATCCATCTGCCTCTGGCTCCTAAGTGCCGAGAGTAAAGATGCATACGCCATGCCCAGCTAGATCGATCATTCATTCATTCATTCATTCCTTGGTGTGTGTGTGTGTGTGTGTGTGTGTGTGTGTGTGTGTGTGTGTGTTTGACCTGTGTGTAAATGCACCATGAGTGTGCAGTGCTTGAAGAGGCCAGCAGACGGCCAGAAGTCTGATTCCCTACAACTGGAGTTTTAGAGTATTGTGAGCTGTGGGTGCTGGGAATTGGATGGGCATGGATTATTTCTCTGCAAGAGAAACAAGTGCTCTTAATCACCGAGCCACTCTCCAACCCCTTAATATGTTTATCTAGGTTGGCACTTAGAGTTACATTTCATTTGTTTCATTGCCTTGGAGTAATTCACATATAAATTTACTTGCCCAGTTTCCTTTTTTTTTTTTTTTTTTTTTTCGCTTGGGACTCTCATTATGTATTCTAGGCTAGACTTTGACTCTTGATCTTCCTATCTCAGCCTCCCTAGTGTCATATACATGTGACATACACCCAACTTTTCTGCTTTACTTTTTATATGCATATATATTTAGTTTCTGGGAGTGGTGTGTGTGTGTGAGTGTGTGTAGTATTACTATTGTTATTATTTGTTTTTCTGAGGCATAGCTTCATGTAGCCCAGGCTGGCCTATAATTTACTATGTGGCTAAGAATGTTTTTGGACTAATGATCCTCCGTTTGCTTCCACCTTCCAAGTGCTGGGATTGACAGGCATGTGTTACTCCTGGCTCTTACTTTTTATATAATTTTCTCTCCTTAATGGTGCTGGGGTTGAACTTGGCCTTGTATACACTAGCAGGCACTATCACTGAGCCACAGCCTGTTTTCATCTTCAGGAGTAAGATTCTATGAAGGCCCAAAGTTTGCGTGTTAGTGTGTGAGACCCCTTATTTTCGGCATGTAGAAAAGCTAGATGTGATGGTGCACAGCTGTTACGTCAGCACTCAGAAGGCCGAGGCAGGACCGTTACAAGCTTGAAGCCGGCCTGGGCTACATGGTGATGCTGTCTTAGAGACAGGAAAAAAAATCATTCCATATTGAAGCTGGATGACAAAAGTCTTAGTGCCATCTAGAATATCAGTACAGTATTCTCCCATAGGCTTGGCTTCTTTTGAAAGCAGTTTCGATCAGTTCTTTGGTGGCAGTAGAAATGTCCTAGAAATGGCTAGAGGGTCCTGGAAGGAGAGGGACAGTCACCTTGGGTAGAATTTCACTTGTACTGCTATCTTTTTTATCTGGGAAGCTTTTTTTTTTTTTTTTTTATTTTAAAAAATTGTATTTGTTTTGTATATTCATGTGCATATAAACACATATGTGCCAGGTCTCATATACGGAAGACAGAATAACTTGCCATAGTTGATTTATTTGTCCTTTTACCACATAGGTCCTAGGGACCAGACTCAGAACATCAAGTGACTTTACACGTTAGCCATCCTGCCAGTCTCGGGAGGCTGTTTATGTGTATGCCTACATGCTTATGTGTGTGTGCCTGTATGTCTGTCTATCTGTCTGCCTGTCCATGTGCTCAGCAGAGCTTTCAAAGGACAATTTGCTGTATTTGGTTCTCTTTTTCCACCATATTCTTATATTGGTTCCACCTCATTCTCACCATGGTTCTCCTATTCCACCACTCAGTTACCTGCTGAGCCATCTTGCCAGCCTGAAATTAATTATTTTTTTTTTAAATGAAAATGACTGGTCATTTCTTTCTTGTTTATGGCTACTTTTCTGTGGACTTTCAGACGAGGATCTTGAAATTGAGCTGGTTGAAGAGGAGCCTCCGTTCCTGAGAGGGCACACCAAGCAAAGCATGGACATGAGCCCCATCAAGATCGTTAAGGTGAGAAGAGCGGCCTTCTCCCTGGAGCTAGCCACGAGCCGGTCTTCCTAAAGCAGTGGTGTCAGCATCGCAGGATTCAGGCGTCCTGTTGGTAACCAGGGTCCGCTGGCTCGTAAACGGAGAGTGGCTCAGCTCTGTTACTCCTGTCTGCTTAACCTTTGTGTGCACTGAGAAAGCCGAGATAAATAGGCGTGCTTGCTCAGCCATTATTGCTTTGTTTAGGTCCCTCAGGGCTTGACCCTTTGGTGTCCTGGAGGGTAGAACTGCAAGAATGTGAACCAGAATCCTTAAAAATTTTGATGTGGAAACGATTATCTTAAAGGCCTGTCTGTCCAGCAAACCTGTATAATGCTCAGAATGGTGGTTTCTTTGTTTTTTGAGGACAACTTGAGGCGTCAGTGCTCACCTTCCACCTTGTTTGAGACAAGGTCTCTTGTTCACCATTTCAGTACACCAGGCTAGCTGGCCCTTGAACTTTGTGGACTTTTCTGTGTCTGCTTCCCATTTCTGTGCAGAAGTGCTGGGATTATACATATCTACAAAACTGGGCCTGGGTTCTCATGGGCTCTGGAGATCCAAACTCAGGTCCTCACACTTGTGGACTGTGTGCTTTTCCACTGAGACAGCTTCCCAGTAGTCCACTTTTTCATTGTTGATTTTGTTTTTGAATCAGGGTCTTGCTGTGTGACCCTGCTGGCTTGGTACTTGTGGTGTAGCCAAGAATGGCCTCTACTGCACAGTTCCAGGATCACAGGCATCTGTACATGCCTTGCCCCTGCCTTCTCTGTCTTTTACGCTTCTAAAAGTAACACCCCTCGCTCTAAGGGTTCTCATCTTCAAGCCAGAAGTCCTCCCACTGATTTTTACTTGTGTGTGTTACAGATGATTCATTTCTTACATGCCCTGAGACACTCGCGTGAACTTTATTTCTCCTCATGTTTTAGATGACAGTAGTTTAACCATGTGCTCTTTTCTGTATTTTAGACCGTCTCAGTCAGGTTGCTGAGGCTGGTCTGACCCTCACTATGTAGACCAGTGTTTAAAAAGCAGAGTGGTGGCGGTACACGCCTTTAATCCTAGCCCTCTCGGAGGCAGAGACAGGCAGATCTCTATGAGTTCGAGGCCAGCCTGGTCTACAGAGTGAGTTCCAGGACAGCCAGAGCTACACAGAGAAACCCTGTCTTGAAAAACAACAACAAGAAGAGATACTTAGTGCTCGCTGCTTTTTCCTCTGTCGTCTTAGAATCCAGATGGCTCACTCTCCCAAGCAGCCATGATGCAGAGTGCCTTGGCCAAAGAAAGGCGGGAACTGAAGCAGGCCCAGCGGGAAGCTGAGATGGATTCTATACCCATGGGACTCAACAAACACTGGGTTGACCCCTTGCCTGATGGTAAGGAGTGTGGACATGAATAAATCTGAGGCTCTATGTATATGTAACAGTTGGCAGCTGGGCATGGTGGCACATACCTTTAATCCCAGCACTCAGGGAGGCAGGGGCGGGAGGATTACTGTGAGTATGAGGCCGGCCAAGGCTACACAGAGAAACCCTGTCTCCAAAAACCAAAACTAACAAACAGCTGACACTACAGACAGTGAAAAATTTGCCTCAGTTTCCCTTTTTCATTGTTGCCTGTTCAGAGATACTTTTTCTAAAAAGAATTATTTTCTAAAAAGAATTATTTTAGCCTCATGGTGGTACATACCTTTAATTCCAGCACTCAGAAGGAAGAGGCAGCCAGATCTCTGAGTTCAAGGCCAGCCTGGCCTACAGAGAAAGTTCCAAAACAGCCAGGGCCACACAGAGAAACCCTTTCTTGAAAAAACAAATCTACTTTTATTTATTTTTTAAAGATTTATTTATTGTTTATATAGTATTCTGCCTGCATGTATGCCTGCATGCCAGAAGAGGGCACCAGATCTCATTATAGATGGTTGTGAGCCGCCATGTGGTTGCTGGGAATTGAGCTCAGGACCTCTGGAAGAGCAGCCAGTGCTCTTAACCACTGAGCCGTCTCTCCAGCCCAACAAATTTATTTATTTATTTAAAGATTGATTTATTATGTCTACATTGTTCTGCCTGCATGTACACCTTCATGCTAGAAGAAGGCCTCAGATCTTATTATAGATGGTTTTGAGTCACTATGTGGTTGCAGGGAATTGAACACATTTATTTTTAAAGATTTGTTTTTTGTATGTGTTTGAATGTGCGTGTGTGTGTGCACGCGTGTGCGCATGTGCATGCCTATGTGGGTGCATATCTGTCTTCTGAGGTAGAAGATGGTGTTACAGGCAGTTGTAACAGACTCTGGTTTTCTTGAAGAGTAGTAACCAGGTCCTTTGAAAGAACAGCAGATGCGCTTAATAACTGAGCAACTGAGCCACCTCTCCAATGCTTGCTTTATTTATTTATTTACCTACCTATAAATAAATAAATAAATAAATATATATATATATATATATATATATATATATATATATATATATATTGGTTTTTTGAGACTGGGTTTCTCTGTGTAGCATTGGCTACACAGAGTAGCCTGTGTAGTCCTGGACTTGCTTTGGAGACCAGGTTGGCCTCTGCATCCCTGAGTGCTGGGATTAAAGGCATGCACCACCAGGCCTGGCTGCTTTATTTTTTAAACAGTTATTTAAAATGAGTGTTTCAGTAACCCTAGTCAAGTCATTAGAGTGGCTGAGTTTTTCCTCTCAAGACTTTTATTTTTAAGATAAAAGACTTTAAGACTTTTATTTTAAAGATAGTACAGTATAAAGGCTGGACATGATTCTCAGTAGTGGACTGCATGAAGCTCTAGGAGTAATTCCTAGAACTGGGGGAAAAAAGAGTACAAATGGGGGTGATGTGGTTCCCTGTGCTTATAACTGCAACACTTTGGAGGTAGAGGCAGGAGAAATTAAGAGTTCAAGGCCAACCTTGAGAGTAGTGGTACACATCTTTAATCTCGGCTCTCAGGAGGCAGAGGCAGGGTTCTCTGAATTCAAAGCCAGAGTGAGGTCCAGGACAGCCAGGGCTACACAGAGAAATTCTGCCCTCCAAAATAAGGAGGGGAAAAAAAAAAAGAGTTCAAAGCCAACTTCAGCTACAGTCTCAAAAACAACAAAAAGCAAAAGCTAGTACAGTCTTTTACTGATACGTGTGCAGGCGTGAATATGTGTGCGCATGTCGTGTGCATCCAGGTGCCCTTAGAGACCAGGGTGGACCAGCGGATCCCCTGGAATTAGAGTTTCCCGTAGTTGTAGGCCACCTAATACAGGTGCCAGGAACTGAATTTGAGTTTTGTATGAGAATAGTGAATGTTCTTAATGGCTGAGCCATTTTTCCAGCCCGTTTTTGTTTTTTAAATATGTTTGGCTGTTGTGTCTGAATGCTACCTTCTTACATCTGTGTGTGCCTAGAGCCCACGGAAGTCAGAGGATGGCATTTGATCCCCTGAAGCTAGAGTTCCAGATGATTGTGGGTCACCATATGACCAACTTGGTTCCTCAGTAAGAGTCGTCAGTGCCCTTAACCAGCCCTGATTTTTTTTTTTTTTTTTAAATACAGGGTCTCATTATGTAGTACTGGCTGGCTTTAAATCTACCAGCTAACCCTAAACTTGTAGCAGTCCTCCTGCCTCAGCCTCCTGTGTATTGGGATTGCAGCTGTGAGCTGCCATGATTGGTTAGAACCTAGACTCTTAGAGGGGTTTAGCGAGTATGTGGAGGTTAGAGAGTCAGGAGAGCGGTAGCCAGTGTTAACAGCTTTGCAGTAAACAAACCTTTAGGAGGTCTGTATGAATGGAGTATTGTGTTGTGAGGGATGGCAAGGGCAAGGCAGGACTGGCAGGCAGGGCTTTGTACGTATCTAGGTTACTCCTCAGCGCATCATGGAATGTAACAGTGTTGGAAACAGGAGGATGGCGTGATCAGAGTTGCATTCCCAAAGGATCATCAGAGGCTCTGTAGGAGGAGTTGGATAGGACAGAAATAGATGCTTCTAGTGGGTTAGCAGGCTTATGTGACAGTGAGAGGAGAGGTGAGTGATGGCCTGGACATAAGGTATCAGAGAGTATTTGAGAAGCTTGTTGAAAAAGGGGGACATGAAGTAGGAGTGGCCAGCGATAGTTTCCAGGTCTAATGTGAGCAACAGAGTGACTAGTGGTGCCTGTGGGGTAAGAGACTGATGGGGAACAGGTGTGTGGGGAAGAGGTCGAATGCAGGTAGCCAGAAGACATCTCAGTTGCAGTATCAGGCATGTTCAGAAGAGGGGTCTGTGCTGTAGAGAGAATTTGGGGCATTGTTAGCTTAGGTAGCAGTTTAGATTATAGCACAAGTGAATTAACATTTAATCATTGGAAATATTCTCTTGTTTTAATAAAAAATCTTCCAGAGCTGGGAAGGCAGCAACAGATGAATCCATGAGACTTGCTGGCCAGCATAGGCCACCTAGCTAGTTCTAAACCAGTAAAAGATCCTGTCTCAAGAGGAAGAAAAGGTGATGACACCTGAGGGACACCTGATGTCCTGTAGGTTCCACAGGCATGGGCACATAAACACATACATACACCCATTGGTATACATGTGCGCATGATGTTGTGTTGAAGTAAGAGAGATTGTGTGTTTGTGTTGAAAGAGGGATTTACTTTGTAGCCCTATTTCATACTTACATATATATGTAGTTAAGGATTTACTTTTATTGTTTTAAGTTATGTGTGTGGGTATGTACCCACAAAGCTAAAGGTACAGGACCTCTCCCGGTGCTAAAGCTACAGGCAGCTGTGAGCCACCTAACTTGGGTGCTGGAGTCTTTTGGAAGAGAAGCTCACAGAGCCATCTCTCCTGTTCCTGAGACTGAAGCATATTTTTTATGGGTGTTTCTGCCAGCAAATTTGTAACATTTACATATTTGCAAGAGCCACCAACATTCTCTTTGTCTTGCTCATTCTTTTGCTCCCAATTCAAGCCGTAAATTTTAGGGTTAACTTTGAAAATATTGAAGCAGGTGACGCTGCATGAAGTGTCCAGAATATGCCAGCCCGAGAGAGAAAAAGCAGACTAGTGTTGTCACGGGAAGGCAAGAGGAAAAGAGGTTTCCTTTGGGGTGATGAAAACGTTGTAAAATTAGGTGGTGGTGATCTTTGGGAGTAGATCAGAAGCCACTGAGCTAGCACTTGGAAAAAAATGGTGTGTAGGAGTAGTTTGAGGACAGCACTCTGTTCGTTTTCCTTTCCAGCGGAGGGGAGGCAGATCGCTGCCAACATGAGGGGGATTGGGATGATGCCCAACGACATTCCTGAGTGGAAGAAGCATGCGTTTGGGGGCAACAAAGCTTCTTACGGGAAGAAGACCCAGATGTCAATCCTTGAGCAGAGAGAGAGCCTGCCCATCTACAAACTGAAGGAACAGCTGGTGCAGGTGGGAGATGTTTTGGTGTGAGGGGATGGGGTGTGGAGTATTTTCTAAATGGGGTGTGTGCTGGGATGCTAGAGCTCAAATCAAGCACTGTCCTGCGAAGCTCCCCAGACTCCCCTTTATTTATTTATTTATTTATTTATTTATTTATTTATTTATTTATTTATTTATCCATTTATTTATTTATTTATTTATTTATTTATTTATTTATTTATTTATTTATTTGTGCGTGTGTGTGTGCACGCTTATGTATTTGTGTGTATGATGTATGGGCTGGGGCACATGCCACAAGGCCTGTGTGAGGCTCAGAGGACATTTTGTGGGTTGGCTGTCTCCTACCCTTACATGGGTTCACACTCCGGCTTGTTTTAAAGTACTTTTAGCTACCAAGCCATCTCAGACTCCTTATTTATCTTTTTTAGGCATGGCTGGCATCGTTCTAGCTAGCACAGACTGACCAGGAGCTCACTCTGTATCCCAGGCTGGCCTCGAACTAATGATCTCAACCTTTCCAATACTATGATTACAGGTGTGAACCACCACCCCTGCCTTCAATTTTTTGTTGTTGTTGTTTTTGTTTTTGAGCTGGGAATCTCATGTGTTTTCCAGCTGGCCTCAAGCTTTATGCGGATGATCTTGAATACTAATATTTCTGCCTTAGTTCTGGAATTATGGCCATGGACCACCATGTAGTCCTAGGGATCAAGCTGGCAAACAGGCTATCAACCCGGGGGTGTGAGCCACATTCCCCAGACCTTCCTTTTGGGCTTTTGAAACACAGTTTCTTACCATATCCACGCTGACCTAAAACCTACTGTGTAGCTTAGGTTGGCCTCAAGCTGAAAATAACCCTCCTTCAGGCATTGTGTTCTATCTGTGTGTGTGTACATGTGTGTGCAGCATGTGCATGCCTGTTGCCTTCAGAAATCAGAAGAGGTCACTGGGGTGCTGAGCTGCTGTGTGGGTGCGGGGTATCTAACCTAGGTCCTCTATAAGAGCAGCCAGTGCTCTTAATGGCCGAGCCATCACTCCAGCCCCGTGGCAAATCTTAATAACTGTATTTATATTGTACTGCTTCCAGGCTGTGCATGACAATCAGATCCTAATTGTAATTGGAGAGACCGGATCTGGGAAGACAACACAGATCACCCAGTACCTGGCAGAGGCAGGCTACACTTCCAGGGGCAAGATTGGGTGTACCCAGCCCAGAAGAGTGGCAGCCATGTCCGTGGCGAAAAGAGTATCAGAGGAGTTTGGTTGTTGCCTGGGTCAAGAGGTAAGTGATTGAGAAGCTGCTGTGTGTATTTCAGGAGAAAAATAGGAAAGCCCACATACCTTATCTGTAAAATGGGAGTGTTTTACACCTTTTAGATTTTTCCCAAAGGAGAGAGATTTTCATTGTCATCAGGTTCATCAGGTCAAGTCCAGGGCAGGGCAAACTTTACTAGAGGAAAGCTCTGTGATCTTGGTTAATTTCCTCTCTAATAGGAGTATGAGGGCCAGTCTGATAGGTTTTCTTCTTCTGTCCTGCTGTAGGTTGGCTACACCATTCGGTTTGAGGACTGCACCAGCCCAGAGACTGTCATCAAGTACATGACGGATGGCATGCTGCTGAGGGAGTGTCTGATCGACCCTGACCTCACTCAGTATGCCATCATCATGCTGGACGAGGCACATGAGAGGACCATTCATACAGATGTGCTCTTTGGACTGTTGAAAAAGGTAAGTAGGTAAACCCTGGTGTCTGGGAATAGGATTTGAGTGCCCTCTGACACTTGGCGTAGTCCTTTTTAGTAAGCCAACTTGCATTTCCCTTTAGACAGTTCAAAAACGACAGGACATGAAGCTGATTGTCACCTCAGCCACGCTGGATGCAGTGAAGTTTTCTCAGTACTTCTATGAAGCACCCATCTTCACCATTCCGGGTCGAACCTATCCAGTGGAAATACTATACACAAAGGAGCCCGAGACAGACTATTTAGACGCCAGCCTCATCACTGTCATGCAGATCCACTTAACAGAACCACCAGGTGAGGGGAGTGGAATGCTTTTTTCTTAAGCCAAAAATCCTTCTGTGAGTATATCTTTTGCTGGTCTTGTAAAACACATTTTAAATATTTTTCTCTCAGGCATGGGTATTTGGATGGTGGTAGAAATGTGGTTAAAAAGTGATATGAAGTTTAAATGCACTTATTCAAGTTTAGATGGCTGATAACCTCTTGGTTTATTTATTTTTGTGGTTTTTTGAGACAGGGTTTCTCTTTATAGCCCTCTTGGCTTATTTCGAGTTCATAGTGTGAGTGTGTGTTTTCTGTTTGTATGTTAATATGTTAAGAGTGCTGTTGGTGTTGTCGCAGCCTTTCTCACACAGGCAGAGTGTGGAGGTTTGTACCTGTGTTTCCAGCTACCAAGAGGCTGCTTGAGCTAGAAGTTTAGGGCCAGTCTTGACAACGTGGTAGAACTCTCATTCAAAACAAAACAGATCCAAGCCTGCTTACAGGCTGTAGTCGCAGCTATTTACTTGGGAGGCTGAGGCAGATCTCAAGTTCAGGGGATGCCTGGACAACTGGGTGAAACCTTGTCTCAAAACCTAAAGAGTGGAAAGAGGGCTGGGGATGTGGCTCAGTGGCAGACAAGCCCAAGACTCTTTAAGTTCTACCTCCCATTCCACAGAAGAAACAACAGAGCATCCCCTTCCCCGACAGAGGCAGTAAATGATGCTTCATTCTCTTCCTAGGTGATATCTTGGTTTTCCTGACTGGTCAGGAAGAGATTGACACTGCTTGCGAGATCCTGTATGAAAGAATGAAATCCCTGGGTCCTGACGTTCCCGAGTTGATCATCCTCCCAGTGTACTCTGCCCTTCCGAGTGAGATGCAAACCCGAATCTTTGATCCAGCTCCTCCTGGCAGCAGAAAGGTAACGTGGGGCTAAAATGAGGTGTGCCACATACGCTGAAATCACGTGGACTGCACAGCCAGGGCTCTGCTTGTTGTGGCCTCCCTGGTGATGGGCTTACAAGCACATGTTGCCATGCCTAGCACTTTTATAAAGTTTCCTTTTACAGCTGGGCATGATGGCATGTGGACATCATTGTACATGTGTGGTTTCAGAGGGCACTCGCAGGGGTCAGTTCTTCCCTTGCACCATCATTCAGATCATCAGGCGTGGTGCCAAGTGTTTACCCACTGAGCCATCCTGCTGGGCTCTGGATGTATTGTATTTTGTAGATTGTGTTCGTTACTCGATAGACATTAGGTTATTTCTACTTTGAGACACACCGTGAGTACTTCTGCTGTGAAAACTTGTTTACCAGCTCATTCTGATGTGTGTTTCTCTGAGTATACACCAAGCAGTGGAGGTAAGTGGGAAAATACTCCAGTGTCAAGAGGTGGAGTGGGGAAGAGTGAGGGAAAAGTCAGGCGTGGCTCTCAGGCGTCTAACGTGTGTAGCTGGGTGGAACGTGGTTCTAAGAGTTAAACATGGAGAAGGAGCAGGGATGGTTGGGGTTCTTCCTCTGTTCTGTTCTGTTGGTTGGACTTGTTTCTAAGCAGGGCCTTTGTGGCAGGTAAATGCCTTTCAGGGCCAGTAAGATACTGCCATGATGTGAGACATTTTGGTGCCTCCTAGCAATGATTTTTCTAAGCAATTGTCTTTTATGAGCTGAGCCTCCGGGTGGAAAACCAGTGGCAGAGCCAAGCTGAGAGTAATAATCTTCTAGATCACGTATACTGCTGCATACACACAAACCGTGAAATCCTTCTGTCCCTCGTGGTTCATTTTACGATGAGGAGAAAAGATCCAATCCTCCTCTTGTTCCACATATATGAACAGCTCATTTCGGAGTCCAGATGTCTCTGTGGGAGAAAGAAAACTCTCATTTTGCAGTGGCACATGTGATGCCAGGAAATCTGTGCTTTCCCAGGGAGCTAGAAAATTAAAATTATAGTAATCATCTGCTCTAGACAATGAGATACATAGCCATTTATACAAATGAGATTGGCTCTGAGCAGCCTGGGCCCTTTGCTGTTTTACAGCTCTGAGGCACCACCACTTCCAAAGGAACCCTTCTGATGCGGACACCTTCCCCTCTGACCCCTGGGGACCTGGACTGAGGTTAAGTGTCAAGTGTGTAGAGGGAGATAACAGCAGATTACTTGGGAAAGTCTAAGGTCTGTTTCAGACTCAGCTCACTGTGGCGCTCTTTCTCATCTGTAGGTCGTGATTGCCACCAACATTGCAGAAACATCTCTGACCATCGATGGCATCTACTATGTGGTTGACCCTGGATTTGTGAAGCAGAAAGTTTACAATTCTAAAACAGGGATTGACCAGCTTGTGGTGACCCCTATCTCTCAGGTACGGCTGTGTCTGTCATAAGCTTTTCTCAGACTTATGCTGAAGGCCTTTCTGGGATTTGTTATGGTCCCTTCCTCCCTTTTCCCCAACCTTTCTTCCTTTCCTGTTTGTTTCAAGACAGGGCCTTGCCAAGATCTGTGTAAGTTCTAGACCAGCCTAGTCTACAAAGCAAGTTTGAAGGTGGCTAGGGCTTCGTAAAGAGACCCTGTTTAAAAAAAAGTAGAGGGCCAGGACTTGCTGTGTAGCTTAAGCTGAACTTAAATGTGGAATCCCCTTGCCTCTGTCTCATGGGATTAGAGACACTTGACACCTAACGGTTCTATATTTTGAACCTTATTTTCCTCATAAATGAACTTAGTGAGATAAGGAAAGGCTTCTTCATATGATGTGTGCTGGCTGCTGTGTGTATATGCTTCTCAGGGTTAAATTTATTCCCTACACCTGTCACTGAGCTATAGCCCAAGCCCTGTATTTGTGAGTAGAATTTCAAAATAAAATTGCCCCATAAACAATTTTTTTTCTTAAAGATTGTCTTACACGTGTTAAACATTTTTATTATTTGTGTATGTGTACGCACTATGGAGGCCAGAAGAAGGCTTCAGATCCCTTGGAGCTGGAGTTATAGAAGGTCATGAGCTGACTAAGGTGGGAACTCTGGTCCTCTGCAAAAGTAGTATGTGCTCTTAACCACTGAGCTATCTCTCCAGCTTACGCACACGCACACGCACGCACACACACACACACACACACACACACACAATGTTAAAGTTTATCTTGTTAACCTACCTATTCTGTTTCTAGGAACATATTGGAGAGTTACATATGATTGAGTACATATTCAAGGAACAAAAATGGCTGTTCATGGAAGGATGGCTCCTAGATCAGCCAGAAGGAGAAGCAGTTTAATCCACTATAGTATAACCATGCCATAGAGTATTGTGTGGAATTAACTGCTGGTGTGTATTTATATTTAATGTTATAAATGTGTAACTGTGGCATATTAAAGGAAGTGAACTACAAAATATGAATGAAACAACCCAATTTTTGTTTAAAAAAATACATGGTGTGCATTTCTGGGCTAAGCATATGGCTGTGTTCCACACTGAAAATCTGTAGGCAGGATGTTAGCTAGGGCTTTTTTGTGGGTGCTGCCATACTATTGATTGCTGTGTTGGTAGATGGTGAGGTTTTTTTTGTTTGTTTGTTTGTTTGTTTGCTTATACACTTTAAGTATTGTGTTCATCTTTTATAGCAGGCATGCATTAACTTTTATAGTTTGTAAAAACCACAAAGCTATTTTCATTCTGCTCCTTCAGTAATAATAATGAGTGGCATTCACCTGGTGCTTATCAGGTGCCAGGCACTGTCCTAAGTATTTCACATGCACTAACGTGGGGCATTCTCACACCAGTTCTGAGCAATAGAGAGTCCTGTCCTCATTCCCTAGCTGGGAGGAGGTTAGGGCATAGAGCGAAGGACTTGCCTGTTGTCACACAGCTGGAAGAGGCTTTACTCTACAAACCCTGTACAGCACCTGTGGTTTGTGCAGCTTCTTAGGACAGTGTCTCTCGTGATGACCAGATCATTGGCTATTGTGCCTGTGCTGATCTGGAGAGGAGCCTGCGGCGCCACAGTCCCAGCAGTGTGAATGCCGCCTGGGTTGGTATGGCTCATTGTCCTTTCATGCTTCGTTTTTTTTGTTGTTGTTTTGTTGTCTTTTTTCTTTTTTTTGAGGCAGGGTTTCTCTGTGTAGCCTTGGCTGTCCTGGGACTTGTTCTATTTAAGGCTGGCTCACAGAAGTTTGTCTGTTTCTGCCTTCTAAGTGCTGGGATTAAAGTCGTGAGCCACCATGCCTGACCTATTTTTTTTTTTTAAGGGCTTGATTTTTTTCCCTGTTAACTGTTGCATGTTCTACATTGGATGTTTACTAAAGTCTTAAAATAGAAGTCACACAGTGCTGGAGAGATGGCTCAGCAGTTAGAGTGCTCACTGCTCTTGCAGAGGACTCGGGTTCTGTTCCAAGCACCTGTGTGGGGCTGACAACCTCCTATAACTCCAGTTCTAGATGCAAGGCCCTCTTACAGCCTCTGAGGGTTCCTGTGTATGTGTGTAGTGCACATTCACATTCACATAAAAATAATAAGGAAATACAAAGAAATAAAAGCCATGCATAAGCCACCCACAGACTAAGCCACTGGCAAGATGTAATGGTGTTTCATCCAGTCATTTCATCCTTATATATACATCAGATATTTCATAAGCTAGACAAGATGGTTCATGCTTATACTCTCAGTACTTGGGAGGCCAAGGTAGGAGGATCTCTGTGAGTTCTAGGATAGCCTAACCTACATATCAATTTCCATGACAGCCAGGGCTAGTTAGAGAGCCTGTCTTTAAAAAAAGCCCCCAGGCATGATGGCACACACTCATCTTTAACACTAATCACTTTTCATTTCAGGCAGCCTGTCTCAAAAAGCCAACAATTAATAAAGTTAATGTCAGATTCATTGTAACGTGCACTTTTTCTTTTTTTTTTCGTTTGGTTGTTTTTAAGACAGGATTTCTCTGTATAGCCCTGGCTATCCTAGAATTCTATCTATAATTCAAGGCTGGCCTTGAACTCACAGATCTGCCTGCCTCTGCCCTCCAAGTGCTGGAATTAAAACTCGTGTACCACCACTGCCCAGCTGTAACTTGCACTTTTTATCTGATGAGTCGTCACTTTTGTCATCAAACACTGCAAACCTGATTTTAGAATGGCTACAAAGTTATTGGTGTGGTCTACATGATTTATTTAATTTGCTTCTAATTTTGGTCATAACTGTGGGGCTGGTGTTTTATTGTCTATTCTGCTCTCTGTATTTCTTCGGTTTACCCGCCTTATATGTGCCCCTGGAACAAACGTCCTAGAAGTACTGAGAGTTGGTAAGAGCATTTCTAGTATTGGAAATGGTCCTAGAGGAAGTGGTTACTCAGGTCTGCCCTGTGCTCTGGTGTGTCTGTCTTTCTGAGTCTCCCTTTCCCTAAGGCTCATGCTTAAAGTCTAGACTGAAATATCTTTGTTAAACTCTGCCTCTGCCTCATAAAAAGCAAACAAAACATTTGCCAGTCCCCTTCCCAGCAGATTTCCTGGGTAGAGCTGCCAAGTGATGTTTTACAGCTGGTACTCTACATGCTCACCCTCCAGGCTCAGGCAAAGCAGAGAGCTGGCAGAGCTGGGAGAACCGGCCCAGGGAAGTGTTACAGGCTATACACAGAACGTGCCTACCGAGATGAGATGCTCACCACCAATGTGCCCGAAATCCAGAGAACCAACCTGGCCAGCACGGTGCTGTCCCTCAAGGTAAGGACCACTGACTGTCTCCTGGGAATGCCCTAGGGAACTGGCTACTTCACGGCCCTGTACTCATGGATTTGAGTGAGATGCAGCGTCTGTGCTAACAGCTCCCTATGCAGGTCTGTACCGAAATTGCATTCTTCTGTGAATGCACATTTGTTTCTTACTGTAATAACCAGCAGGATATTTGGTTGTGCTAGGTTTTAGTTAGGAGGCATTTTCTAAAAAGAAATTAGACAAATATAATCAGAGCCAAACTGCAGGCTAGCACATTTAAGCCCATCTACTCAGCTTTCAGATATAAATCATCTCTTCTTCCCTTGCAGTGTGTGTGTGTGGTGGAATTGCAGATGGTTGTGAACCTGACATGGCTGTTTGTTGGGAATTGAACTTGGGTCCTCTGGAAGAACAGCAAAACTGCTGAAACATCTCTCCAGCTTTGAATTCTGGTTTATAAAAGGGGAAAAGATGTGCTGGTTCTGAAGCTTTAAAGGAAGGCCTGTCTGGGCCCAGCTGTCCTGTCTTCCTCTCGGGGCCCCAGTGAGGATCTTCACTCTCTTCTGGCAGGAGGAGCCACATGAGTCATTTCCCAACTCATGGCTTGTGCTGCCCTGGAGCCCTGGCGCTTCACCAATGCAGAGTGCTCTTTTATCATTTATTATTCATTTCATGTAAGAGAGGATAAAACAGAGCTGCAGAGAAAAGCCCACTGTGGGCCCCAGAGTGCTGGCAGCAAGGCCTCAGTGGCCCTGACTTTGGATTTGGCCACATGAATTTGAGCAAGTTTATCTGCTCAGCCTCTGTTTTGTGATCTTGTCCTAAAAAGGGAACTGTTAATGTTTGCTGGGGAGATGGGTGGAATGAGGTAGGCGAAGGGACTTGGCACAGTGATTGCTGACATAACTCTTCATGGTTATTATTCACACAATAAGCAGTTATTGGATACCTGCTGTGCTTATGATCACAGACACTTTATGAGGAAGAAGTAGAAAGCACATCACCCTTCATACAGACATGAAGAGAGCATCATTCAGACATTTCTTCACCAAATTAGCTGACGAGTATATTAGCCCGTTTTGTGCCATACACATGTGTCATATTGTGTGAACATATGTGAACATAGTTCCCATATACAGAACTCTTGGGAGCAGGAGCCATGTTGGCGCTGTTTTTATGTCCCTGCCACCTCTTGTCGTATGAAGCACTCCACAGATATGCAGGAGACAGGGCGGAGATTCTACACTGTCTTTAATTATTGTAAAATATGCATAATATAAAATATATAACTTGTTGTAAGCTTTTGTTGGTCTGTCATTTTTTTTCCTTCTTTCTTTCCTCCTCTTCCTTCTTCCTCTTCATACTGTTCCTTCCCTCTTCTGGTCTGTTTCTTTTTAAGAATGAACTTCACTGTATAGTCCTGGGTGGCCCAAACTCACTTGTAGACCAGGCTAGCCTCAGACTCTCACAAAACCTGCCTGCCTCTGCTTTGAGCACTGCCATTAAAGGTGTGGACTGCCATGCCTGGCTGGGTTTTAAACCTACAGCCCCTAGCACGCTAAGCTCTTACTCCTCCACTGAGCTCCACTAGCCATTGTGGCTTCTTTTGTTGTTTTTGTTTTTATTTTGAGGCAGAGTCTTGCTGTGTAGCTCACGCTGGTCACAAACTTGTGATCCTTCTGTCTCTACTTCCAGAGTGTCAGGATTATAGATGTGTGCCATTATGCTTGGCCAGTGTAAGCTTTGAAGTGTTAACTCCACAACATTAGGTCCAGGTGCAGCTTTGTGCAGCTATCATATTGATCTGTTCCCAGAGTGTTCGCACTATCTCTTTAGCTAATTTCCCTTTCCTCATTCTCCAGCCTTTGTAACTATACTACATTCTGTGTGTGTATGTGTGTGCATTTACGCAATCTGTATGAGTGAATTCATGCAGTATTTGCCCTTTAGTGTCTTCTTGACTTCACTTAACAGAATGCTTTTGATGTGTTCGCAGGCTGCAGTGTGTGCTGGGGTTTCATGCCTGACTTAGGGTAATATCCCATTCAAGTATTCAGTGTATTTTCCCTTCATTCATCTGAGGGTAGTTATCTGGAGTGTTTCTTACTTCAGGCTGTTGTGACTGCTGCTGCTGTGAACATTAGGATACAAATATCTGAGTTCCTGCTTTCAATATATGTTTTAAGTCATTTATTTATATGTGTATTGGGTGCTTTGTCTGCAAGTATGTCTATCTGTTTACTGTGTATATGGTGCCTGAGGAGGCCAGAAGAAGGCATTGTATCCTCTGACACTGGAGTTTCAGAGGGTTGTTAGCTGTCCTGTCCATGTTCATGTTAGGAATCAAACCTGGGTCCTCTGGAAGAATAGTCAGTGCTCTTAACTGCTGAGCCATCTATCTCTCTGACCCATCAGTATGATTTTTGTTTGTTTGCGTTTTTTTTTTGTTTGTTTGTTTGTTTTGTTTTGTTTTTCCTCCAAGACAGGGTTTCTCTGTGAAACAGCCCTGGCTGTTGGTGGTTTGGCTGTCTCACTCTATAGACCAGGCTGGCTCGAACTCAGAGATCCACCTTCCTCTGCCTCCTGAGTGCTGAGATTAAAGGTGTGTGTCACTATGCCAGGCCTCAATATGTTTTTTTTTTTTTAAGATTTACTTTTCATTATGCGTGTTTGGATATGCACACATAGTTTTAGGTGCTCACAGAGGCTGGATGGTTGGATGCCCTGGAGCTGGAGTTACAGGCTGTTGTGAGCCTCGGGGTGTGGGGACTAAACTGAGACTTGACCATTGGACCGTTTCTCCAGCTTCCTCTTGATATGGTTAAGTAAGTACCTACAGATAAGCGAGTTGGATTATACGGTAACTGTTTAACTTTTTAAAACATTTTGTCTTTTGCTAACTATTTAGCCCCAGCTGGCCTGAAACTTACAGAGACTGGTCTTCCTCTGCCTCCTGAGCACTGTGGTTAAAGACACGCACTGTACCAGGCTATGTTCTACTTTTTTCTTTTACCATCACCATCTATTTTCTACGGTGGCTATTTGACATTTCTGTAAGAAATATAAAAGGTTTCCTGGTTTGTTTTTTTTTTTGTTTTGTTTTGCTACCTTGCTGCATCCCCGCCTTATTCTAGGCCTGACTTACATTGTCCTGCTAGAGCTTGTGTGTCATCTTTGGTGAAACATCTATTTAAATCTTTAACTTTGTTCACCACCCCACTTCTGTGTACTTCTTTCCTTTTTTCAGTGTGTGTGAGTGGAGGTGAGTGTTCGGAATGCATGTGGAAGTCAGAGGACCACTTTTGGAAATTTGTTCTTGCTTATCTTGGACGTTCCTGGGATCAAACTCAGTTGTCAGGGTTGCACAGCCAGCAGCTTTACCTGATGGATCATGTTACTGGGCCTTCTTTGATGTGTTAAGACAAGGTCCCAAGTGTTTTGGTTGGCCTAGAACTTGATGTGTAGTCAAGAATGACCTTGAATCAAGTTTGCCACCACCACCCCCTTTTTGAAGGGGGCAGGCATTGAGACAAGGTGTGTGACTGGCCTTGAGCTTACAGAGGTCCCCCTGCTGCTGCCTTCCTCTTGAGCGCTGGGATTAAAGACATGTGCTACTGCACACAGCCCCAGAATGTTTTTAAAAATGGGTTAAATTTTGTCCTTTTGTTGTTATTTTGTGTGTGTATTTAATTATTTATTTTACATTAATGGTTTTGTTTTGCTTAAGGATTGATTGATTGGTTGATTGATTGGGTTTTTCGAGGCAGGATTTTTCTGTGTATCCTTGGCTGTCCTGGAACTCACTCTGAAGACCAGGGCTGGCTTTGAACTCACAGAGCTCCACCTGCCTCTGCTTCCCTGAGTGCTGGGATTAAAGGCGTGTGCCGCCACCACCTGGCTTGTTTAAAGATTTGTAACCATGTATAGATGTATACTTACACTTGGGTGTTTGCACATTAGTGCAGGTGACTTAGAAGGCCTTTGGCTTGCCTGGCGTTAGCGTTCCAGATCGTTATGAGCTGCCTGTTGATAGTTCTAGAGCCTGAACTCCAGAAGAATAGCAAGTGCCCTTACCTCTGAGCCGTCTTTCCAGCATGGAAGCAATGTTTTTAAGTTTCCTGAGGGGACTAGGGATTTAGCTTAGTTGGCAGAGTGCTTGCTTACCATTCACGAAGCCTTAGCATCCGCTCCCAGCACTGCATAGGCCAGGCGTAGTGGTGCACACCTGTAATTCCAGCACTCAGCAACGGGAGGCAAAAAGAAAGTGTCCTGAGAAAACACATGTTTGTTAGTGGTTGAGCTCTGAGTCTGGAGGCTGCTGCTCCTCTCTGCCTCCCAATTGCACTGAAGAATTAGCAGAGAATATGGCAGGGGACTGCCTCCGTTTTAGCTGGTGGGGCTCATCTTTCTATTGCTTTATTCTCTAGGCCATGGGCATTAATGACCTGCTGTCTTTTGACTTCATGGATGCCCCACCGATGGAAACTCTGATCACAGCCATGGAGCAGCTGTATACGCTGGGAGCCCTGGATGATGAGGGCCTGCTCACTCGCCTGGGCCGCAGGGTAAGGAGCAGAGGAGCTTATAGTGCTCTGAGGAGGACTCCCTAGCCAGTCTTCCACCTTGTGTTGAGACCTCAGAGAAGCTTTGAGGAGGATTAATTGCTCTTTAGAGTAGTGGGGGAGGGGCCCAGGCTTGTCTTGAACTGTTTATTTACTGAGGATGAGCTCCTGATCTTCCTGCCTCTGCCTCCCAAGTGCTGGGATTGTGTGAAGGCCCCACCACACCTGGCCCTAGATGCCTTTTATTTTCTTTCAGGGAATGGGTGCAGTTTGTTTCTGCCAAGGCTGATGATAGTGATAATGATTATTATTGTTGTTACTGTTATTAACTATTACTGTTGTTATTATTAGTGTGTGACTGCTGGGGATGGTCACGGGTGTCAGGTTTGTGCAGGGGGTTCTCTCCGCCTCTGCATGGGTTCTGGGGATTGAACTCAGGTCACCAGCCGTATGTGGCAAGCACCTACTAAGCCATCTTAGTAGATGGTGGTGGCACACGCCTTTAATCCCAGCACTCAGGGAAGCAGAGGCAGGTGGATCTCTAAGCCACTTTGAGATTTTGCTTTTTAACTTGAATTTTATATTTTCACTTTAAACTGTTCCTTCTTGCTGGACAGTGATGGCATGCACCTTTAATCCCAGTGCTTGGGAGGCAGAGGCAGGCAGGTTTCTGTGAGTTCGAGGCCAGCCTGGTCTAAAGAGTGAGTTCCAGGTCAGCCAAGACTACACAGAGAAATCCTGTCTCAAAAAGCCAAAAAAAAAAAAAAAAAAAAAAAAGTTTCTTCTTAATACTAAAGACTATTTGCAGTTAACTTTACTCAGAATATTTTACTGAATCTAATCTTGATTACATTTATGGTTGCTATTATTGCTGTTATTTTAAAACAGGTCATTCTGTATGTAACCCATCTTAGCCCGGAACAACCTCCCTATATAGTCCCCAAAACAAATAAAAGTTAGGTTCTTAGGTATTGAGAGCTTATTTGACAAAGAAATTTTGTGGTGGAGACAGACACCCTACACCGTCATGAGAACATCTTGCGAAATCTGTGCCTCTCCTGGTTACTCAGTCTGTGCACCTAGTCTACAGGGAAGCAGTTGTAGTTTCTCCTTCTTCCTGTAGATGGCGGAGTTCCCTCTGGAGCCAATGCTTTGTAAGATGCTCATCATGTCTGTGCATCTGGGCTGCAGCGAGGAGATGCTGACCATCGTGTCCATGCTGTCTGTGCAGAATGTTTTCTATCGACCCAAGGTAAGGTGCTCTACCCTGGGTCCCCATGCACTGGTGTATGACATTAGCCTGTGCTGTGCTGTTTGTGGGAGGGGCTGTGACACGGGCTCCCATATGTTTTTATGCTAGCTGCTCACGCAGTAGTTGTCAGACAAGGAGTGACTTCCTGTCCCACTGCTTGGCAGGATAAACAGGCCCTTGCAGATCAGAAGAAGGCCAAATTCCACCAGACGGAAGGGGACCATCTTACCCTGCTGGCCGTGTACAATTCCTGGAAGAACAACAAGTTCTCCAACCCGTGGTGCTATGAGAACTTCATCCAGGCTCGTTCCTTACGCCGGGCCCAGGACATTCGCAAGCAGATGTTAGGCATAATGGACAGGTCAGTCAAATGTGGTGGCATTATTGTTTGGGTTGTCAGGTCTCCCTGTGTCTATGTCTGCTCACCTCCAAATGTATTTGCACAGTTACAGGCACTTGGATGCTTGTTTCTCACAGAACACTTTCCCTCCAGTGTCCATCTTACTTCTTGTAGGCTGTCCTTTTGGGCAGGAGTGTGGCTAAGAATTGCATCAGAAACTTCCTAAGAGGAAGCTAATTTAAGTAGTTAAGAATGCTTTGCTTACAAGCCTCTGGCTCATTTGTTTGAGTTCTTTGAGTCTAGTGTCTGGCTTTTAGTCCCTTCATATTGCCCACCATGTCTAGTGCTGCCTCTGTAGTGCGCTGCGGCCAGGAAGGTCCTGGTGGCCACTCTGAAGACTGTGGGGTGGAGCACTGAGCAGCTAGCATCGTGCACACAGAGCAGCTCATGTCTTCTCCGCTTTTACGTCTTGGTAGGCACAAGCTGGATGTGGTGTCCTGTGGGAAGTCCACAGTCCGAGTGCAGAAAGCCATCTGCAGCGGGTTCTTCCGGAACGCTGCCAAGAAGGACCCGCAGGAGGGTTACCGGACCCTGATTGACCAGCAGGTGGTCTACATCCACCCTTCCAGCTCTCTCTTCAACAGACAGCCAGAATGGTAGGCCTGGGTCCACGCAGAGAGAGCCCAAGTCTCCAGCGTCCCCCACCTGTGCTTTGATTTAACCTGTGTTTCTAGAGTAGCAGAAGCCCAAGTTAGGTACACCAACAAGCTCCCCTCATTTGCTTTAGTGTGTGTGTGTGCGCGTGTGTGTGTGTGTGTGTGTGCGTGCAGGTGCGCCTTTTTGTATGTGTATGGAGGTCAGAGGACAGCCTCAGGAGTTGTCATTGGGAATACAGACTCCCTCCTTTTAAGATAATGTTGTTGCCTGGAGCCCACCAATCAGACTAGACTGGTCACTGAGCCCCAGGGGTCCTCTGTCTCCCCCTCCTCAGCGCTGAGATTACAAGCGCACATGGCCGTGTCCAGCATTATGTTGTGCTGAGGATAAGTTTATTCTTGCAAGGCAAGCATTTTACCTACTGAGTTGTTCTTTCTAGCCCATAAACAACCTTTTTAAGAGAAGTAAAATTATAGGGGTGAAAGCAGGGAAAGATCTTAGAAATCATCTAGTAAGATGGTCTTAAAAGGGTTTTGAGGTTTCTTTGTTTGGTTGTTTGGTTTTTGTTTCTGTTTCTCCCCCCCCCCCCCCCCCAAGACAGCATCTCACTATGTAGCTCTTATTGGTCTGGAACTCACTATGTAGACCAGGGTGGCCTTGAACTCACAGAGATCAAGGCTTCTGCCTCCAAATCTTAGGATTAAAGGCATACACCAATACACCATACACGACTACCTGGTCTTAAAAAGTTTAAGCCAGGCATGGTGGCTCATGCTCGAAATCCCAGCTCCCAGGAGGCGAAAGAAGAAGGATTGCCTTGAGTTTGAGACTAGTTTGGGCTTTACATGGAAACCCAGTCTCAAACAAACAAAAACAGGGCTGGTGAGATGGCTCAGAAAGTAAGGGTGCTTGCTGTAAAAAGCCAGATGTCCTGAGTTTGATCCCCAGAACCCACATAAAAGTGGAAGAAGAAAACAGACTCCACACAGTTGTTTTCTAATGTCCATAGGTATGCAAATGCTCACACAAGCACAGGTGTGCACGCAGAGGCGTGTGACACCATGCCTGGCGCTGTACACTGCTGTGTCCACTTGGCCCTCCCCATCCCTTAGTGGTGATCCATGTGGCCCCTCTCCAGAACCTTAGAATTCAGTGAAAAAGCACTGTTTTCTTTTACAGAGTAAGGAACTGAAATCTAGAGAAGGGACAGAGTTGTTTTGTTGTCACTTAATTAGTTCATGCCAGAGACAGGTCTCTGGTTCCCTGTGAGCAGTCTTGTATTGGAGGGGTTTTAGGCTTATAGTATTGGGACATGGCTTTCATAAACAGACCACATAAATCCTGAGGCAGGAGAAATGCTAGAACAAAATGGCAGCTCAGATGTGGTCCTCCAGGGGACCAAACTGGCTGTGGAGTGGGGCCTAATCCAAGGCTTGAGTCGTGTCTGTGTCCCACAGGGTGGTATACCATGAACTGGTGCTGACCACAAAGGAATACATGCGTGAGGTCACCACCATCGACCCTCGATGGCTTGTGGAGTTTGCTCCGGCTTTCTTCAAGGTTTCTGACCCAACCAAGCTAAGCAAGCAGAAGAAGCAGCAGCGCCTGGAGCCTCTGTACAATCGCTATGAGGAACCAAACGCCTGGAGAATCTCCCGCGCCTTCCGTCGGCGCTGAAAGACAGCTCCTCGATTGCCTCTCCTGCAGAGTGGCTTCCTCTGGCTGATACCAACCTGACCCTGTGATGACCTATCTTAACCTGAACCTTTTCCAAACCTGACTGTCTTCATAGTGTAAGACATCAACACATCTAACTAGGGCTTTGGCCAGAGCCTTTAATCCCAGCACTTGGGAGGCAGAGGAAGCTGGATCTCTGAGTTCGAGGACAGCCAGGACTGCACAGAGAGACCCTGTCTTGAAAAATCACCACAAACAAACAAAAAGTCAGATAGGTTGTGCATCTTGGGATGGGAAGGGGAGTGAGTGAGCATTTATGATGCATGACGGACACAGCAAGGACCCTGACACCCCAGCTCAGGCTTGCTGAAGGAATGAACTGTGACACTCATGTACCACATTGGCCTCACTCCCTATTCCCTCCCCAGTCTCTGTACTTGGGTTTTTACATCCTGGAAATATTTATTTTCCTAAGAAAACAGTGGCTTATTATGACGTTCTCCTGTGGGCAGGGGCAGCTGAGATGTCAGGCTTTCAGCCTGAGTTCAGTGTGGTACCCATGGTGAGGTTTCCTAACACCAGAGCCCAGGCCTCACGGCCCAGCCCAGGCCCAACCTCCAGTGTCTTTCAGCACCGCCGGAGCTAGCTCAGCCTTGGCAGTGCACGGCCCCAGATGAACCAAGTCTGTAATAGAGTGCTTCAGCCTGGAGCCTAGCCGTTACAGATGCCACACCTGAACAAAAAGCTCTCCTCAATCCTCTGTCCCCTCCCTGCCACACTCTCACTGAGCGGTGTGTTCTGTTTCCTTTGAAACAAAGCGCGTAATGACACTGTGACAGTGTTCGTGCGTTGTCCTGTTTTTTCCTCCTGAAGTCTGCTGTGGACCGAACAAAGCCTCCCTTCCCCTCACTGCCAGCAGAAAGTGAGCACAGCGCCCCTCACAGCTGGTGCACGCCGACGACACCTGTGTTCTGGGCAGAGTGACACACACCATTCCTCTTGAAGTTTTCTCCTAGTGGCCCCTTCAGAGAACTAAGGTGGCTGTGCTGGAGGAGAGCTGTTGTCCTGCCCAACTAGACTGGAGCTTGCTGAGGAGCCCTGGGGCATTGGACTCACCCTGGGGCATGGTATCCTCCTGTGGCCCCTCCCATGTTAGTGGCTTCTAACTGTAACTTAAGTGCTGAATGGTAGGCCAGATGCCGAGACTCCAGCATTTGGGGGAAGTGACGGTGTGTTAGCTGCTAGCAAAGAAGCCATCCCGATGACAAGTCCGAGAATCCAAAGGACAGGAACATAGACCAGGAACTGCGAGGCAGAGTATGTTCTTTCCTCTCGCCCAGGGAGGGCCTGTGTGAAACTGAAGCAGGAACCCAGCATCCAGCTCCTGCTCTTTTCAGTAGAACCCTTGACAGTTGGCAAAAAGCATGTGCCATCCTTGTGTGGGGCCATGCTAACCTCTTTACTCCACTTTTAGTGTATTTGCTCTCTCCTTTCTGCTTTCCCTTCCCTCCTTTCCTTTGGAGATGGAGTGAATGTCTGCTACACTCAGCCCCAGCCCTAGCCAGGTCAGGACCACAGGGCTGACTGTGGATGTGTCTGTAGCTATTCTTTCACCTTGTCACTTCTCTGCTGTGACCGTACCTGGGTCTGACCGTCTGACTGCCCATCAAAGCAGCCACCTCAGTATCAGGCTAAGGTTACTCTGAGGGGAAGAAGTCTCCTGTTGAGATTTAGAAGAACTGGCCTGATAATTGGGCAGTGGGTATGTTTGAAACTGGGTCTTACTCTGTAGCCCAAGTTTCCTTTGGATTTAGGGTGGTCGTCCTGCCTCAGCCTCTCAAGTACTAGGTTTACAAGTGGACATCACCAGGCAGGGTTTATCTCTTTAGAAAAAAGGTGTTTAAAGTATTTTATATGTATGGGTGTTTTGCCTGCATGCATGTCCATGTACCACTTGTATGCCATCCCTGGTCCCTGCAGAGACCAGAAGAGGGTATCAGACCCCTGGAATCGGAGCTACAGATGGTTGTGAGTTGTCATGTAGGTGCTGGGAATGAAACAGGTTCCCTGGAAGAATAGCCACTGCTTTTAACCTCTGAGTCATCTCTCTCTAGGCTCTTGTCTCTTATTCTTTTTTATTGTTGTTTTGGTTTTCTGTTTTTTATTTTTTTTTTCAAGACGGGAGTGTTGTGAATGTTTTGGTTTATGATAGTGTAAACAGGTTTTTGTTAAAATTCCAAGGGGGGGGGATTTTAGGTTTTCCACACCTGTTAAGTGTCTCGTGCAGAGCGTGGTCTTTGCCAGGTGGAATTAGTTGAATTCTGAGGACTTTGACGGATATAAATATGACAGCCCAGAGAACAAAGGCGTGCTGCTTGGAGGACTGTTTGCTGCTGGTTCGTCCTGCTACTGCATTTGCTGCTTGCTGATTCACTAGTTACCTTAACCTCTGGATTTCTCGACAACTGATACTGGTATTACCCCCAAAAGAATCCTATGACCCTACCCAGCGGGAAGTAACAGAGAGAACTCTGCCCCGTCTCCACTAACTTTCCCTCCTAAACTGGTGTTGGGGGGGTTGGAAGGGAGGTATAAGTGTTTAATAACCCTAAATAAAGTAGGTTTGTTAAAAAAATCAAAAGTCAACACAGGATTTCTCTGTGTAGCCTTGGCTGTCCTGGGTCATTCTGTAGATCAGGCTAGGCTCAAACTCATAAGAGATCCAACTGCCTCTGCCTCCCTATCCTGGAATTACAGGCCTGTACCACACAGGCCAGCTCCTCACTCATTCTTGAGCCAGTATCCCCAGGCCTGAGAGCCCAGATGATGGTGTGGGTCTCATGCACAGAACTAGAATCTTGGCCACTGTGTGCATGTGTGTGGACAGCCCAGGGGAGTGTCTGCTCTCCTCCACGTGGATATTGGGGAGAGAGCTCCAGTAGTTGGGCTTGGCCCCAAGTACCCTCCCCACTGAGTCATCCTGTTGGGCCTAAAACTTTTTTTTTCCTCCCAGAACTGGTTTTGTCTTTTGCTCTGACTTGTCAGTTCATTGTTTTTTTTTTTTTTTTTCTGGTGTTTCTAGGAAAAAGTGGTACATTTTATTTGTGGGTAGCAGTTGGAGTTCTGTTGAATGGGCTTGTTTATACCTGAGCCTAGTTCTGGAAAGCTAGCTCTAGATCGTCTGACCCTTCCTGTTATCTACCTGTCACAGTTTCTCAGTCCTACCCTGTGTTAGCTTTCTCCCACCTCAGAACTGGTCTTAGGAGAACGTTTGCCACTGCCATCCCATAAAGAGCCTACCCAGTACCTGCTGTCACCCCTTCCCCTGAAGCTGCCTGCTTGGGTATGTTTCTCCTTTTCCACTCTTCAAACACTTGTTCCTGGCCTAACAGCAGCAACCTGGAGCTTGTGTGGGAAGAGGAACAAGCAGCTCCTGGTCATGGGAGCAACTATGATCATACAAGCCACAGACTAAGTCTCTACATGACATTCTAGGGTCAGGCCAACCATGGAAAGAGATGATCAAGGGGCCCATATGGGTTAAAAAGTATCCTCTCCATCATTTCTGGATCCTCACATAATCCTAGGTCAGGGAAGGGCAGATTCCCCCAAATCCATTTTCCAGAGGAAAATCAACAGCAAAAGGTGAATTGCTATTTTTCCCCCCACAGAAGCGCCAGGGAGGGCCTGAGCTCAAGGAGCAGGACACCATGTGTCATGTAAGGCCTTGTGGGGACAGACTCCAGACTCCAGTCATCTATTTCATGACTAGCTCCTCTCCTCTTCCTCTTGCCTCACAGAAGCAAAGAGCAAACAGAGCAGGGAAAGCAGAGCCTTTATTAAGGTCTGGCATGAGGCGAAGGTGGAAGTAGGCCTGGGTGGGCCTAGGACAGAGAGCCAGAGGGCCCACTGGAGGAGGACCTCATGCAACCCTGCCTCCAGACCACACCCACCTGCTCCTGCCTCCCAGAGCACAGCACCAAGAACACGGGACCCCAGCTCAGGGCAGAGCCCAGAGCCCAGGCTTCCATCTCCCACGGTGGGAGAAATAGGGAGTTCTGAGAACCCCCTTGGCCCTGCTGCCGTAATAAAGTTGCGAAGCCCCCTGTCTGTCCCCAGAGCAGACCAGACACTGGTTCTCTGTGGTGGGGTTGGGGAACTGGGCCTAGGCAGAGGCCAAGCTGAACTCCTGAGGGGCAGAGGTGAATGAACCACAGCAAATGTCAGAGTTGCTGCCTCCACTGTCCTTCCCGAAGAGTCTGGTTAGCAGCCAAGTCTGGCTAGGAGTAACAGATGGGAGAGTGGAGATCTGACCCCAGAGACTTCTACAGGTATCAGGATGAGGGCTTCACCAACACCAACTCTGTGATATGTACACTGGGCAGCCTCACCGTGGCAAGGGGAAGCAGGCCACGATGCCTAGTAAGAATATCCACCTTTGTGGCCAAAGGGCTGCGCAGGGCCAGCCAGTTCTGGGAGGTAGGCAGGGCTCTCATCCAAGTGGGACAAAGGGACGGTGTCCTCCTCACTGACTGGCCGGTCAAATTCGGCCTTCAGAGCTGGACGCTGATTGTCCGGGAAGGCCAGAGAGAACAGGGCTTCAGGCTCACACACGAACTTGTACACGTAGCGCTCGCCAGCCACCTGTGGAGAGAGGGCTGTCAGGCCAGACACACGTACCCTGCCTCACTAGAGAACTTAAGAGGATCCTGCCCTTCTCATGGGCCATGGAAGCACATCAGGACCCTCTTCCCTCCCTTCTGGTCTTTGTTCTTGTCTCGGTCTCGGCTCTCTTGGGACCACCTGGTCACTGTTTTGCAACTTTACAGGGGAACCTTGGGATTGACATTTTCTGTTCTCGAAAACCTGCTGAGAACTGTGCTCTTATTCTCTCCCTCCCTCCCTCTCAACTCTTGACCCTTTCCTCACACTCTCTCAACCCTCAGCCCCTCCTCATGGCTGTGCTAGGACCTCAGCCCGACCTTCTGCATGATGCCTTTCTCGTAATAGTATCGCAGCGAGCGGCTCAGCTTGTCGTAATTCATGGCTGGCCGGTTCTTCTGGATGCCCCAGAGCCTGGCAACCTGGGGACAAGAGACAAAGTATTTAGGTGGAGATAGCATCTTGGGAGGAAAAATGGAGGGAGGGGGGGCAGGGTGGAAAGAACATTTGAGATTCTTGGGGCAGAGATAATCTAGGCTTGTTAGCAGCACAATGCTGACTCAGGCTCGGTGAGAACTGGGTCAGGCAGATTGCAGGTGCTGGCGGAAAGCAAGTGCCACCATTTCTCCCCTCAAGGCTGGAGAGGAGGGTGGGAACACCTAAGACCCACCTCTTCAGGTTCAATTAGCTTAAACTCCATCCCCCGGCCTGTCCAAGCAATGAAGTGAGCATTCGTGGGGTCATCCAGCAGGGCCACCAGAAACTGCCACAGTTGCAGGGCGCCCCGGCGCTGGTAGGGCGGCCCCTCGCGGAAAGCTCCAACCCCTTCCTGCTTGATGTCTCCTGGGAAAGCGGAAATAGGTGTGAGGTGTATAACACCCAACCAACCTCCTCCCGTTCCCCACGGGGCTTCCCCAAACTTTCCTGAGTGTCCCGACCTCTCTTAACAATGCAAGGTGACTCCTACAGGACCCAGGGTGGGAGAAGGTGGAGAAGACCCTGACCTAACCCGGATTAAGTCACTTCTCTGACCTTCAAATTTTTCAGGGACAATGCAGACGTCATCTGGGAATGGTCGAAGAGGTTTCTCATAGCCGTAGCCTTGTGGAGGGAAGTTGGGGATTGCTCAGATCTGAGGTTCACTGTTGGAGGCCCCGTAGAGGAGTCTAAAAGGACTCCTGGCTGGGGTGAACCTCCTCCCCCATCAGGAGGCCTCAGCCAGGGGAGGAATGGCCCGCCTTACCCATCACTCCATCACCTGGAGAGGGCCCAGAGAAGCCCTCTGGAGGGAGGTACATCGATGCACACCCAGGGACATCTGGGGGAAGGAGGAGAGGGTGATGTAAGTGGCTGAGGTGTCACTCCCCCGAGGAGCAGGGGAGAAAAAGGCCCTACACACATTCAAGACCTTCATGCCGCTAGCCCGAGGTCCAGCAACTGTCCTTCTCCCGCCACCAAATCCCAGAGGAAGTCCACCCCGAGGGAGGTGGGAGGGCTGGGGCAGAGGGCACGGTGGCAGCAGCTGGGGCCAGGCAGCCTGTTCACAGGGCCCAGGATTCCAGGGAGCAGCTGTTTCCTGTGAGTTCGGGGGGAGGAGGAGGTGCGAGATGAACCTCCGGGGGTTGGGAAGGGTTTGCTTAAGACTTCCTCGGGATGGGCACACGTCCGGTCAGCAGGTCAGGTTCCAAGCCCCAGTACCTCCGTGCCAGTGTGTGTGAGAGTGAGGAGCCGGGGAGTGGAGGCAGGGGAGGCATACACCCAGTGAAGAGGCACTGGGCAGTTTTTTTGTTTGTTTGTTTGTTTTTTTCCCCTCAGATCTAAGCACGTTCTACTGTGCTCCCCGCCACAGAACTGAAACCTCCTCCCAGCTCCACCTTGAGAGGGCAACTGTGCGGAGCCTCTCTTCAAGTTCCAACCCTTTCCCGCCCCCTCCACTCCCACCTATGAATGAGCCGCTGACACCCGACACCTCCTCGGGGGAGGAGGCAAGGGGGGAGGGTTCATTCATGCCTCCATTTTGTGAATGGAATTCCTGACTCCATTCAGGAAAGCGGAGGGAAGAGGGGCAGGAGTTCAAGGGCAAGTAACACAATCCCCTCCGGTCTGGCCTCCAGCCTTTGAAGGTCGGCGGCTCTGAGCGCCTCCCTCCTCCAGCTGCCACTTCACCAGCAGGCTCCGCGGCTTGAGGAAGAGAAGCACCTATCCTGTTCTCCAAGCAGTGGCTAGGGGTTTGTGGATAAGCCCGACCCTGAAATACTGTGGGCACCGAGGAAAGAAAAATCCTAAAATTCCAGCCAGCTCTGCAGTTTCTATCTGTCTGTCTACCTCCCAACCTATCTGTCTTATCTACCTCTCTCTTATATCTATATTATCGTGTCGTATCGTATCCGTCTGTCTGTCTATCTATCTAGAGACAAGGTCTCACTCTGTAACCCAGGCAGTCCTGAAACTCATTACTCATATACTAGCCTGGGCTAGTCTTAAACTCATGGCCATCTACCTGCCCTAGCTTCCTGACATTATTATGGCTTTTTTTTTTTTTTTTTAAGACACTAGGCTAGCCTTGATGCTGATGATCATCCTGCTCGGATTACATGTGAGCACAAATATTCATCTCCCTTCATATTTCAAATCACTATGGAGACATGGACTAATGACAGTCTCTTTTTTTTTTTTCTGAGACAGGGTTTCTCTGTGTAGCCTTGGCTGTCCTAAAACTCTCCCTGTAGACCAGGCTGGCCTAGAACTCACGAAGATCCACCTGTCTCTGCCTCCCAAGTGCTGGGATCAAAGGCGTGCGCCACCACCGCCCAGCCAACAGTCTCATTTCTGTATCCTCCAACTGCATATTCTTGTTCCAGGCATAGTACTCTAGTCTTCCACAAAACTCTGACAGAAGTAAATGCCCAACCTTGTTGCTCTTATAAGGGCAAAGGTCTATATTCCCTATTATCTTATCTGAAAGTTGGCTGGCTAGAAAATTATCAGTCTTTAGAGTATTTTTTTTTTTTAAGTGAATGGGTGAGTTATGAACTCATGTATGGACCATGGAAAGGCACAGACCTTCCTGTGACCTGTGCTTAACCTCGCTGCTCACTGGAGTACATGCCACCCCACCTGGCCATCCCAGAAAAATCTCCAAGTACCACCCTCCCCCCCCCCCCCCGCCCAAGAGTCTCTTACCTGAGTCATAGGTGAAGTCTGTGCGCTCCTGTTTGATCACCACCCCTGCCCCTGGGTACCTGTGCCCACTGACCCCACCCTGGTTCGAAGCAGGCTGGCCAGCCTGTTCATACAGGGGGTCATGGTACTCCTGCTTGAAGCTCTGCTGGGGGTAGGGTGGGCAGGGCTCCGACAGTTGGTGTTGATAAGGGGGTGGAAGAGGTTCCCGGCCTCCTCCCTGAGGAGATGTGAAGGAATGGCACATGTCCAGGGGCTGCTGAAAGACGGAGCTGCGTGTGATGGATGCAGAAGGAAGAAAAGAGAATCCTCCATTAGCTCCCTTGAGCCTGTCACCTGTCGACATGGCTCTGGAGGGATGATGAGACAGCACCACCTCTCCTCTGAGACAGCTCTCTAGAGAGAACTAGGGAATGGAGCCCAGGCTGCCTGGCGAGGTCTGTGTCTCCGGATCTGTCTCCTTACCCGTGCTCGCCAAGGTACCCGTGGCCAGGGTGGGACTGGGAAGCGCTGGAGGCTCTCAGGAGGCTCTGCTGCTGTTCTGCCCTGGGAAAGGGCTGCAGGGGCGACTGTCCAGGGGCACCAGGGGTGGGGGACTTGATGGCGATTTGTCTGGGGGAGTCATAGGCACTAGAGTTGGGGAGAAGATGGGGATGAGGGGGCAGAGAAGCTAGGTGACCATCTTTGTACCCTTCAGCCCCGATTACTGCAACTACAGGAGCAGAGGCGCTCAGGACATTTTGGGGGGGGGATGGTGGCTTGGAGACAGGGTTTCACTGTGTAGCCCCCCGGCTGTCCTGGAATTCTGTAGACAAGGCTGGCCTCGAACTCAGAAATCACCATGCCTCTGCCTCCCCACAGCTAGGAATTTTTTTTTTCTTTAAGATAGGGTCCCATGTAGCTCAGGGTGGCTTCAGACTCTCCATATGTAGCCAACAATGACCCTCAAACTTGATCCTCCTGTTTCCACCTCCCAACTGCTTAGATTACAAGCATGTAATTGTCCTGCAAGATTTATGCAGTGCTGATGATCCAGTCCGAGGCTCTGTACGTGTAAGGCAAGCCCTGTGCCACCTTAGCTACGTTCCCAGCGCCCAGGTGAGTTGTTTTTTTTCTCCCCAAAAGGGTCTTGCTCTGGAGCACAGCTTGACTCTCTGTACGGAGCTAAGGCTGACCTCAAACTCATGTTCCCTCTGTCTCAAGCCCGTCATACCTAAGTGAATACCTTTTCTTAGTCCTGGAGCTGGACCTCTCAGCTAGACAATCTCTCTCTGGAGCCCAAAGAAACTGGTCTAAGTTGGACACGGCCTCCAGGTAGAGATTCACTCTCGTGCCCTTGAGGCCCTCTGTCCACTGTGTGATGTCTCCTGCTAATACTCCAAGGAGTCCTTGCTACTGTTGCCTAGGAAACCCCTGATGTCCAACCTTCATCTCTCCTTGTGCCTCAGCTCAGGGATGCCTTCTCCTACCCTAACCCTCAGTCCAAGCCTTCACCTCTTGACACCTCGCCCAAGACTTCTCGCACCCTCCTGGGCTGGGACTCACCTGGAGTAAAGGCACTGCTCTCCATGGAGATAAGGGAGTGGTGGCTTCCTGCTGCAGGACAGGGCGGGTTCTGTGCGGGGACTCTGGGGTTCCTTCTTGATCCTGGTGGTGGGGCTGTGGAAAGCTACTGTGGGGGAGGACAGGAGGACAGGGCAGAGTGTCACACAGGGGCTGACAGGGTTTCAACTTTCTGAGAAATGGCTGGGTTAATCCCTCCCTTCCCGCTCCCATTCTCTCATTCTCTCAACACTGAAGCTGGCCGCTTTTGGAACATGTTACTCACGTTGTTATATCTAGTTTTAAACATTAGGTTATTGTCTGGTATTAACCGAGGGAACCATCTAAGAATTCACACTCAACCCCTGCTGAGGAAGACACCTTCGTAAGAGTGACCGTCTCAGACCCAGGGCCTCTGCTTTCCTGAGTGCCCTGGAAAATTCCAAGTGAGGAACATTATTTGTTATTTGGGACTAGAAGGATTCTTTGGTCTTCTGAGGGAGTCTGGAGATTAGTCCACTTGCTTGTCAGCTGAGTGACATACACACGCTCCTCGTTATCTCAGAGTCCAGCTACCACTGTGGCTAAGCCCTGGTGTGAGTGACATCCTGGCTTCTGGCAGTCTGGGAGCCACAGTTCCGGTGACTGCTGTTTCCCATTCTTGTGCTCGGTTCATTTCATGGGTGATGACATCCGAGAGGAGCCTCTGATGTCCAAACATCCTTTCCTCATACGTTTCTTTTCTTTTTTTGGTGTTTTTGCGACAGGGTTCCTCTGTATAACCCTGTTTGTCCTAGAACTTACTCTGTAGATCAGGCTGGCCTCTAGATCTGCCTGTCTCTCTACCTTCCAAGTGCTAGGATTAAAGGCGTCACACCCAGCATCCCTTTTGTCTTTTTTTCTTCGAGGCAAGGCCTCACTATATATCCAGACTGGTCTCAAATTCAAATTCACTACCCTTCAGATTACAGGTGTGGGCCACCATGCCCGGGCACGCAGCATTTCTCAAGAGTGACACTTGTGATTCTAGGATCAGATTTGGGGGTAATGTCCTGAGCACTGTAGGGTATGTTTGCAGCACCACAGACAACCCCATTTGCCCCCAACCCTCAACTCTCCAGAGACATCAGGACAGTGCTGAGCCTTGTTAAGTCCCTTGCTTTGGGTGCAGAGAGAAAGTATCCGCTCCGAGTCACATGGCCAGGACCCCAGAGGGAAAGGAACGTCACAACCCAGTCACAGTGTTGGTGTCAGAGCCCATAGTGCAGGATGGGTTTCCCTGACCTTCACTCTGTCTCTAGGTGAGAGCAAACTGCTCTCCTCTGGGTGACTGTCCCTGTGACTCACTTCCTGTCATTCCCTGACCCCCTCCCCCGACCCTTGTACCCAGCACTCACTACTCACAGTTTTCTGAATGGAAATCAGGAACAAACTGCTCATCGCTGTCTGGTACCTGAGCTGCAGAGAGAGGCCAGAGGTGAGTCTGGGGAGTAACCGTGCGAAGTGGCAACCCCAGGAAGACACCGTGGCCGCCACCCTGCAGATATTCTCCAGCCTTTAAGAGGTCAAGAGCCTCCTTAGACCAAAGGTGACTGCGGCTCCCTGCCCCCCCCCCCCCGCCTCCTCCAGCTCCTGACCCATGAAGACCCCCCCCCACCAGGAGGGCTCTCGAAAACTTGTCTGAGCAGATGACAGTCTTTGCCTAGATGTTTTGTCCCCGGTCCCTCCATTTTTCTGAAGTGCAAATGAACCCTCCCCCCTTCAGGGTTTACAAGGTTTTATCAGGTTTCACAGCAGAATGCCATCACGGGTGGGCAGGAGCTACAAACCCTGGGATCCTGTGGACCTGCAATCACATGAGGAGACCCTAAATCTGGGGAGGGCCCAGGAGTCTGCACTTCAGATACCTTCCCAGGTGCTTTGGAGACACAAGAGTTCTAGAGCCTGGGAAGGGGAATGAAGGAAGGAGGACGGCGGCAGAGAAGTGAAAAGAGTAAAAATAGGACAGGAGGAAGCTACAGATACTGTCTTCTCATTGATGAGCAAGGTAAGTATAGCTAAGAGACGGGAGGGCTTCCCAAGCCTGGAGTTCCGAGGAATCAGGGGTGGGCATCTCTGTGCCAAAGGACACCTCTATGGACTCCAGAGTTTCTTCCTTTTGCTGTCCACCAAGGGGGTAGGAGTGGGGATTACAGCAGAAAGAAGAACAGACACAAAGGACGACTCCCCAGTTGTCTGGGACAATAGTGGGTCTGAAGCAGGACAATGGAACTCGTGACCTAGGTGACTGGACTGTCCCTCCCTGGAGGCTGGGCAACGAACATGCAAATGGCAAGAGGAACGATTCGGACTTCAGAGAGGCTTGTGAGGCAAGGGGTAGGGGACATTCTACACCCCAATGCCACGTGAGCACACAGGATCCTGTGTTTCCCTGCTTATGTCCTCCAGGCCCCGCAGTCCACACAGCCAGCACGATGATCTCTGTACAACAGACACCACCAAATCATTTCGCTCGCTCGCCTACAATGTGAAATCGAAACTCTTGCCCTTGGTCACCTCCGCTCATCTCTCTCCTGCCTCTCCTTGCGGTCACTCCCTAGCACCTTGGTCTCCTGTAGCCCTCAGTCCTGCTAAGCTGGGTCCTTCTCCCCCCTAGATCCTCACCTGCTCCGTTCTAGATCTCTAGCCCAGGCTGACCTATAACTCGCCATCTTTCCAACTCTGCCTGGAATGCCAGGCTTAAAGATGGGCACCCTGCCAGGCTTATTAGAGAGACCTCCTTTGACCACCCGAAGCAAAACGGTCCCTTTCGCTCTTTCGCTTTCTGTCTCAGCTGGCATCCCCCCCTCCCCCCCGCACCAGAGCACATCTGATCAATGTACGTTTGCCGTACATCTCTTCACCAGAAAGGTAGGCTGTCAGGACACAGGCTTCGTCTTCTTCAGATCAGTCTCTAGCACCCAGAACAGGGTCCTACTCCAACCAGATACTGAATGATTGTTATTTACGAATAAGCATCAATGAAACCTGCCCTCAGGCAGGCAGGGGAGCCCAGGGCACCGAGATCCTAACTCAGGCGGCCCTTCCCTTCTGCTTCGAGGCTCGAGGCTCCTCCTCTCCACATACCAGCTCCCTCCAGAGCCGGCACACCCCCGGAAAAGCTCAACTTGCAAGGATACTCAGGCTGAGGTCAGGTGCTTGTTTCAAATGTCAGAGGTACCGAGTGCTTTTAGATAGAAGTTGATTTTTACGTGTTTACTCATTGCAATGTGGGGGTGGAATCATGGTCCTTTTGAACCTCCAGCCTTTGGCTTTTCGAGACGGAATCTTGCCAGGCACCCCAGACTCGCCTTAAATTCACCATTCTCCTGTCTCAGCTTCTCTGAGACTACAGGCCTATGCAACACCACACCTGGCTTAGAGGTGTGATAAACAGAGATTGGGCCAAGGGGGCTTAAGAACCTTTAGTTTCCGGTAGTCAAGGACCTACTACAGTTCCAAAGTGGCCAAACACATCAGCGGGGCACTAAATCCCTCAGTGAAAATATACGCAAATACCCAGCTTTTCGGAAGTACAAGTATAATCCCACACAGCCGTCCCCCAGCCAGCCTGACTGAAGAACCACCCGGCTTTGTTAGCTACAGCAGTTGCCAGTCCTCAACTCCGGAAAGTCACTGTATGGGCCAGAGGTGGGCTAGGCATCCACATTTGTGATAAATGCCCCTGGTGACTGGAAAGCACTAGTCAAAGGGAAAGGCACGTTCATTCCTGCTGGGTCACTGGGCCCATTCAAAGGTGACGGACACAGGCACCCTGAAGGTGGCAGGAGCAAGTAGGATGAGTGATATTTCCCTGCCTGCTTCTTTAGGCAAGGAGGGTCCCGAGGGCAAGGAAGGGGGTGCAGAACTTGGCAGGGGGTAGCTGACGCACTCTGGGTCCCCTCTTGGGGCCTCATTAACTACCGGTTTCCAGTGAGGTAATGGTCTGGGGGCATCTCCTGCTGATGCCACTGGGTGAGAGAGCCCTGTGGTCAGCTGACCTTTCCTCCTGCCTCAACCCCCAGAAGAGACCTCCCCTTAGCACTCAGATTGTACCCTCAAAGGGGTGATGCTATCTTCTTCCCAGGACGGGGAGTAAGCCCTACTCTGTGCTCAGTTCTCCCAATGTTGGCCTTCTCCCCAAAGGGGTACAACCAGGCTGTCAGTCACCCAGAGACCATCAATGAGGATAGAAATAGGAACAGAAGCAGAGCCTCATGTTCCTGGAGAGCAGGAGAAATTTTATTTACCGTGTTTGGTCTTGCATGTGTACCATTCCGTTTGTCGACTCGGCTGTGTTTTGGCTGCTGAGCCAGTGTGCCAGAGTCTGCCCCTAGCTCTACTGACACTAAAAAAGGACTGTCTGGGTGAAGACATGGCAGACGATTAAGGCAGATGTGTGTATCCAGTGTAATTCACATGCATGCATGCACAGAGAGAGAAAGAGAGAGACTGAGAGAGCAAGAGAGCGAGAGAGAGAGGGAGGAAGAATATATTTAGGGCCTGTCCTTCTGACAGGAGTCAGGGGGACCCCAGAGATGGGCTCCAGAAAAAATGGGAGCTTTAACCAGCTAAGCAATGAGACCTACCACAGGCTAGTTACCATGTACCCCACAGAAGGGCTGACATCTTCTGGGGTTGGGGACAGCCAGTCCCACACACGAGTGAATGGCAGCCATTCTCTGGAGCTTCTACTCTTTTGTGTCACCAATGGTAGGAGCCCTCACCCTCACCCCTGCCCCCCCCCCCCCCGACAGCCCCTATATTGGAAGAAACCAATTCTCTATCTGTGGAGGGGGCATTCCTCTCCAGGAACCTTCTGGAAGGGGAGGAAATAGAAAGATGGAGGAGCCACTGAACTAGGAGAGACCAAGGAGAGGACTGAGGATTAACCCCACTCCCCAACAGGCCCCCTGAGACACCAGGACACATGTACACATTTTCACCCAAATTTCTTGTGCTTCACTCTGAGGCAATATATAGGTAAAAGCACCTTTCATGCTTTCCCTCCACACATGGGGTCTCTTTTTGTACCTATAGTCTAGGAGGCCAAAGGGCCCGGGGAAGGTTGCCCTTGGAGGAGCATTTGACTGCAGTAATTCTTGTGGAAGGCAGCGCCGGGAGCCTTAAAATTCTGATAAACGCTATAAGCCATTCTCTTCCTAGAAAAGTCCATATTGTCTTAATACATAGTGCAATTTTACATGCAGAACAGCAATATCAAAGACCCAAAATCTATCCATAAGCCTTCTGGGAATTCGGACCCCTCCCCAACTTCATACAAAGAACACACAGAGCCCAGTCAGTGTTCCTAAGTACCAAAGAGACCACAGAGTGATTGTCCCAAAGGGTTCTTGAAGGCTCCTGACAATCCCACAAAGGAACCCAACCCTTCATCAGATCCACAAATCTTTTACATAACCAGCCATGTCTTGGCTCAGTCTGCCTGAGCCTGGGCTTCTCTGTGACAGCCTGATCTTTTTCCCAACATCTCACAGGCACCCAGAAACCACATGACCCTCCTCGGCTCACTTCATCCCCTCTTCTACCCAGGAAAATCCCAACCCCAAAGATGTGTATGCTGCCTCAAAAGAGCCTCACCAACACTCACCCCAAAAATGTCAATCAGCAGCCGGTATGCCTGAATCCACATCCACTTCTTTCTATTCCTGCTTGCGTCCAGCCTGGCAAGCCCCCCCCAAATTTCCACCACCCCACCCACACTCTAAGAATTCACGGGGAAGAGGGAGGGAGGGTGGGACCAAGAGGAGATGAGGGAGGGGGCTACAGCCAGGATACAAAGTGAATAAATTGTAATAAATAATAATAAAAGAAAGAAAGAAAAATAATTGTTTCTCTCTAAATTGAGGCTTCAGGAAGAAACCAAGATGAGAGAGGGGAGGTTGGGCTCTGGGCCCCTTTCCTCCTGATGTTCCCAACCACTGGCAAGTTTCCAAAGGAGCTCATCCCTCCCTGTCACCCCTTTGGAGTATGGGGGGGGCCACTGACCTGGTGGGAAGAGGCAGGAGAGGAGACTGGGGTGGTGTTGGGATGGTGCAGGGGGACAGGACCCCGGCAGCTGCATCTGTCTCCGCAGAGAGAGTGAGGAGCGAGTGGCCTCAGCATCCCCCCTCAGGCCTGGCCATCCATCGCCAGCTGGGAACCTGAGCTGCTCCCTCAGGAGGAAGGAGAGGGAACCAAGGAGATCCCAGCCCCCCCTTGCATTCCCCACCCCCACCTCCCCACCCACTAGATTTAAATGTACAGGGACTCCCAAGGCAGCAGTATGTGACACACGTATGCACGCGTGCGCACATAGCTGTGTGTGCGCACACACGCACACACACACAGCTATCCACGCTAGCACACACAGACAGACATATGGACAATCATCAGCCACACCACCAAGGGGAGGGGCTTCCATGGTTGGGTGAAGAGAGCATTTTCCTTCCCTTGTCATCCAGATAGGCCAAGTACTGCCAAAATGCCACCCTGAGCCCATTCCTAATTCACAGCTGGGGAGCTGCCCACTCTGGGGGCCCTCAGTTGATGGGCAGGGAAGGGAACCCAGAGTGCCAGACCAGAATCAGGGACCAGGCAGTAAGAGAGGAGGTCTCTGAGAGCCGACGAAAACCCTGGGTTCTTCAGCTCCAGAACCGGGGGCTTTCCTCAAAAACCCAAAAAAGCCCTGTCTGTAACTGGGATCTGGGCACTGAGGACCTATAGCAGAGGAAAAAACACACCCACCGTACCCTAGACCTCCCCCTTCCAAATTTTTGGAGGATAAACTCCATGCTAAGCAGTAATTCTGCCACAATAATTAACAGTAACAGTAATAAAGTGTGTGTGTGTGTGTGTGTGTGTGTGTGTGTGATTGAGTTAGTGTTCAAAACTGACCTCACCTCATTCCTCACATCTATTTACTGGTCCTTCTCATCCACGCTCCTGCAGAGAATTCTGTGAGAGATGGACCTGAGCTTTGAAATTCCGAAAGAAAGGTACCCACTGGAGGAATGGGGAATCCCTCGGGAAGAGACCTCCAGAAAGAGATCACTTCTGGTTTCTTGGTTTTTGGAGCATCCGTATGAAGGGGGTGTTGGCGAAGAGGGGGTTGTTAACACTTCCTGAACCTCCTTCCACTGGCAGCCCCGGTAGCAACACCCTCAGGCTACGTAAACAACCTCACCAAAACACAACCACCAAGGAATATCCAACTAGGACACAGGGCCCCACCCAGCCACTGGACCCCATCCTGGCCAGGCTCACCACCAACCCACCAGCATACAGGAAGGGGGGCACTGCCTGGGGGTGGAGGTATTGGGGAGGGATGGAGGGAGGGCCAGTTGCTACTGGAATTACAACCAAGGCTATTTGGGGAGGCTGCCGTGAGTCTTCCTTTACCATCGTGAAAAAAAAAAAAAAAAAAAAAAAAAAAAAAAAGAATTATTGAAACTTTTGTTGTTATTTTGGCTTGGGCAGTCAATTGGCCCCCGGAGTTAGGGAGAAGTGAAAGGAAGGGAGTAAAAGCCAGTAAGCTTTCGAGCGACTCCAGAAGATAGGTAACAAATTACTCCTTATCCCTGCCGTTCCTCGTGGCTCTCTTTCAACAGCTCAACACCTCAGCACTACACTTGAGGCCTGGAGAGCCTCCTGCCAAACAAACTTTGCAAATGAAATTTTCAACCAGGAAAAAAAAAAAAAAAAAAAAAAAAAAAAAACGGGCCTGGGGCCAAGTTCCATTCAAATAAGCAAATACCCCACACAATAGTCTGATTCATCCCCAGGCCTAGTTATACAAGCCTGGCTCAGAGAAAATAAATGTCGGTACAAGTGTCCACACCGGGCGCTGCGAAGTATGAACTGTAACTGGACAGGGGCTGAGGGAGGGCAGCGGGGGCTGAAGGACTCACTGGGGGAGAAGGCAACAAAACTACTCACCTTCAGCGAGCCACGTCTCCTGGAAGTGACTGAGATCCTGGAAGAGATCTGACGGGTGAATATTGGAATTGGTGTCGAGGTGGAGGAAGAGACCTGGCGAGCCCGGGTTACAGCCTCCCCACTGGGGGTAAGGGACGGAGAAGAGTGATCGAGAGTCCTCTGGGTGGTTTGACTTTTTTGGGGAACAACGTGGGTTGGGGAGGTTCAGGAGAGGGCTCTGGGATGCGTGTGCGGGCTGAGGAGAGGGGTCGCGGTTTGCCTGGTTCTTTACCTTCTGAGTCGGAAGGCGGCAGGGAGCCCGGGTCCACGAGCTTCCCCTGCGGGACCATCAGCGCTTCGCCCAGGCTCCCATTTCCGGGAGATTTCTGCTGGAAGGAGGGGGAAGGGGAGAGTGCCCCCGAGTCACCCTGAGGTGTCTAGCCTGGGGTCGGGGTCCCGGGGTGGCTCAGAGGCCAGGCCGCCCCCTCGGACCCGCTGAGATCCCCCCCCTCCCCCGGGGAGGGGACCGTGGGGCGGGGGGCGGGGCGGGGGCGGGCGCGGAGGCCGGCGCGGCGCTCACGCTGCAGAAGGTGTAGGGCACTCGCTGGTCCAAGTATCCGCCTTTCATCCTCCGCTCCATCCGGCCGCTCCCTCCGGCCACACGGCCGGGCCCCCGCGTGGAGGCAGAGACCTGGGGGGGGGGGGGGGGGGCCCGCCCCCCCCCCCCGGGGGGGCCGGGGGGGGGGGGGGGGGGGGGGGGGGAAAGGAGGGGGCGATCGCGAGGTTTCCGAGCGGACGGCAAAACTTCGCCCGACTCGCCGGGACCCGCGCGGCCGGACGCCACTCCCCCTCCCGCCCGGGACGGTCCCACCTGCTCCCCGCGAGCTGGGGTCGGCGTGTGCGTTCTGCGGCCCCGCTCGGCCCCGGGCTTGGGTTACATAAGACGCGCGCGCGCGCGTGTGTGTGTGTGTGTGTGTCTGAGCGTGTGTGTCTGAGCGTGTGTGTGTGTGTGCGCGTGTGTGCGTGTGCGCGCGCGCGCGAGGCGCACACCATCCGCACGCCCGTAACTCGGGCGTCCCCACCCCCCCTCCGAATCCCGACGCCTCCCACGCCCCCGCCCCGGAATGTGCGGAAGCGGGCGCCAAACACAGAGGGTAGCGTGTGGGAGACGAAGCGGGGAGGGTAATGGGGGGGTGGGGGGGGCCACGGACGCTCTCCCTTCCTTCCCCTTCCGCAGCTTCACCTGAGGCCGGGGCGTCGGTGCGGGAGCCGCGGGGGGATGCTCAGCATGCCCGGGGGGGGGGATGACACAACTTAGGGTGTCGGGGCTGGGCCCCCCGGTCCCCAGAGCCCCGGCTTGTTTTCCGGGCGCAGCAGACAGTTGTGAGCCCAGGGGAGCCGCTGATTGGTGCGTTGCCTCGGCCTCGGCCTCCGTTCACGCTCTTCTCCCCCCCCGCCCCGCCCCTCCCCGCCGCTTCCCTTTGTTTCATTGACTTTTGTGAATGAAACCCCAGGGCCGGGCACGCCCGCCAATCCGCGGACTCGCCTAGCTGGGCTTGGGGGCGGAGTTTCCCAGCCGCGGCGGCCAATCAGAATGTAGGGGCCGGCTCCCGGCTTCATTCACTTCTTGGACTTCCATTCATAAAAAAAAAACTCCTCGCGGCCTCAGTTCATTCATAAAGAATCGAGGGGGGTGGGAAAAAAAAAAAAAAAGGGAAGCTGAGTCCCGGGCAGCTTCTCCATCGGTTTCGGCGTGGGCTTTGGGTCCGAGGAGCCCTCAGCTCCTCCCGCTGGCGTTAGCTCACGCCTCCGAGCATCTCTACGTACGTGGGAGTGGGAACACGTCTGTGTGCCCTGGGGGGGGGAGGGGGAGGCAAGCGGACTTGCGTGCCCAGAGGACCCGTAATAACTAGCGTTTATGAAGCGCTCTGCCTCCACGTGCTCATCTCCTTCCCCAAACCTGGGGCTGCGGAGCTATTGTTTGCACTTTACAAATGAAAGCGGAAGGCAGCTAAGGAAAGGACCTCTGCCCCTCACCTGAGAGGTAGCTCGGCTAGTCAGTTCGGCTGGGCGTTAGCGTCTCCAGCCCACCGCGGTCTAATGTGCAGCCCTCTGGGAGCATGACCTCAAGTTGATTAAGCTACGTGAAAACAATGGATGCACTCTTGGTGCTTAAATAAATGTGAACTGGCCCGAATCCAGCTTTCTCCTCGAGGGCCTGTGATCTGTAGAGCTGGGTGTTCTGTGACCTGCTTTATCATTCCTTCGTGGCCCTGAAAGCAAGAGGCTCAAGGACAGGTGATGGCCCTCGTCTTATTTCTTACCCGAGAACAGGAAGCAGGAATCCCAAGCGACTCGATGATCAAAAGACAAGGATGGGTTTCAGTTTTGTCCAAGAAGTTGATCACAGTGCCCGCCATTTCACTCATTACTTCATTCGGTAAATATCTGCTGTGTCAGGCACAGTGCGGGGTGGCAAGCAAGCCCACCACAAAGGACTTCTTCCCTTGGGCTCTGGGTTGCTCTAACTGTCAACACAAGGACCCACAGGTCCGCCGAGCTGCTTTCAAAATTCATCTGTCTAATCAAACACTACAGATGAGGTAGTTGGAGGTTCTGAGAAAGAAGTGATAACGTGGAATCTCTTCCAGCCTGTAGGAGTCAGAGCTAGGACAAGAACATTAACTCCTTGGCACCTGAACAGGGCTCATTCTGCAACCTCAGCTCCTCCTCTCATCTGCCAAACTGTTCTTTAAAGCCCGCAGGCCCCTGCCCTCCAGGGAGCTTTCCTTCCAGGAGAGCCTAGATCCGTCCATATCTCTGGTGAGGGATCTTTTCTTCTTCCAGTTTCAGGGAGCTCTGAGGGGCCAAGAGGAGGCCTGACTTTGTAAGACCTTGAGCCTCGCTCCTATTCAAGGGAGCAAAGTAATGGAGTTTTTGCAGGCACCCTGCCCAAGGAAGGAGAGGCAAGCCCAAGCAAATCCCAGCTTGGGGCAGATGGAGCCAGTTTAGGGAGGGGTGTGAGTTCCTAAGTCAGGAGGAGTGGGGGAGGAAGGCAGGCGGTTCTAGGCAGAGAGCTCGGATGTGGTCTCCGTGAAGGTTCAGGGGGGTTCCCTGAGTGGGCCCTGGGTGCTCCAGTTGGGGCCTGTCCAGGGCTGCCTGTCTGGTTTTGAGTTCCTCCATTTCTCTGGGGGGCCCCTCTCCTTTCCACAGCCTCCCCAGGCCTGGCAGAGACCAAAGGAGCCTACCTCCCTGTCTCTGGCGCAGACTACAACCCAGTGAGAGAACAGACTGCCTGTCAGCTATAGCTGCCACACTTGCCCTGGCCTCTGACTGAACACTCAGGTGAAGATCAGTGACGCTGAGGGAAGGGCCCACGATCAGGCTATAAAGTGAATAAGTTATGAAATAATATAAAAATAAAATGGAGAGAGAGAAGAAAAAAAGGATCAGTTTCCAAAAGGAGTGTTGGACATTCTTCTCCAATGGGGCCCAAGGTAGTTAAACGGAGGAAGAAGGAGAGGCTGGAGGTGTGGACTGGGCCCCCCACCTTGTGGGTTAAGTGACGTTGAGGGAACTAGCCTTGAGTCCATGCTCTTCATCAGCTCCGGCTATCCTCACCTCATTTTACAAGAGGTGACAATGGAGGCCTTTCAAATGCATGCTAACCTCCCCCAACCCCCCCACGCAGATGGAGGGTACTCCAAAGAGAGTCACTTTAAGGATGCTCACGAGGCCCCATGGATGCTCCTGGCAAGCTCCAGGCTCCTTTATCACTCAGTATACCTCCAAGAGAGGTTGGGCAGGTAAAGGCTCTCTTCCTCCTGTAGGCTGGGGCGGCTGGACTCTAACCTCTTTCCTAGGAGTTTAAATTATAAAATGCAAATGTGGACGTTAGGTATGTAAATTTCCATACAAAGGGAGCCCATAGTTGGCCTTGGGGACCTCCCCCCCCCCAGTACAGACTGGGGAAGGAAGAAAGCTGTTTAAGGTGCCTGGATATAACAACCTGCTGCCTCTGGAACCCCCGGAGAGGCAGACTCATACCACAGACAGCTTTTATAACATTTTTTTTTCTTATTTAGCTTTATTTATTTATCTTTATTTTTACTTTATGTGTGTGTGTAGGTGTGTGTTAGGTACCTACAGAGGCCAGAGGCATTGGACCTCCTGAAGCTGCGGGAAACAGGCAGTTGTGAGTTATCTGGTGGTGTGGGTGCTGCAAACAGAACTCAGGTCCTCTGGAAGAGCAGCAAGTGCTCTAAACTCATGAGCCATCTCTCCAGGCCATGTTTTGCTGTGGTCTTCCTCCTTCCTCCCTCCCTTCTCTCTCTCTCTCTTTCTCTCTCTCTCCCTTCCTTTCTTTTCATTGTTCGAGGCAGAGTCCCATACAACTCAATCTGACCCAGAACCCCCTATGTAGCTGAGGATAGTCTTAAAATGCTGATCCTCCTGCCTCTGTCTACTGATGGCTCAGTCTTTTGGAAACAGGGTCAGATTCCAGGCCTCCCAGGCTGCCCTTGCTTCCCTGGAGTGCTGGAATCACAGGTGAGCAACAAACACCACACCACACCTGGCCCACGTAGGCTTTGGGGAGCGAATGGCAGGGGCTGTGCTTGGTCCTCGGTGGTGTTGTGTTAGCTGGGGACATTCTGTGAGTAAGCTGTCCAGCCTGACTGTTGGCAGGGATGTCTTTAGGCTTGGCTTCTGCTTCTGCTTACAAAGCAGAGTTTCAGGCACATGAGGGGAGGACTCGGAGGATAATGCAAGGAGACAACTAGATAGAGCCCAGAGATGAGACCGATAGGATCCCTTTGGAGTCTCCTAGGCTGCAGCATTCTCACCAGGGAGAATGAACCAGAGAGCAGAGTCTGGGGTGGGGGGTGAGGGGCGGGGCTGTGTTAGATCCTTCCCATGAGCTGCTGATGGGTCAGCGCCCCTAGAACCAAACCAAACCCCCAAACATGTCCCTGTCAGGCTTCCTTTCCTCCTTTTCTCACTGCCCCAATTTCTCTTTGCTTCCTTCAGACTGCAGGGGTTCCAAGCCCTCCTCCACGCCATGAATGGAATGTGCACCTCAGGAAGCTAATTACCTGCATCAGTGTGCGCGCGCCAGTGTTTGGCTCAATGGAGAGAGACTCGATGGCTTTTTATCAGGGTCACCACAGAGCAGATCTGTAATTGCCCCATCCCCGCTCTTCGGGTTAGAAACACGGCCCTTGTGTCTTTTTATCTCCGTGTCTTCACGTTACTAAGGAACAGAGAAAGGAAGCACTGCTATGGCAGAGGATGCTTAGAGAAGGCAAAACAAAACCAAACCTGCTTCCTTTGTTCCAGTTTACCTTCCAGGAACCTGACTGTGTTTGTTGACTGTGTCGTTTCATTACCCCGACCCCGACCCCGTCTCATGTCAGTCAGGCCTCAGGCTCGGTGGATAGCATCCTCATCTTTCAGACGCCATCTGAGTGCTGAGATCACAGGTCCGTACTCAGCGTGCAGATGAACCCTCTGCTAAACAAGGGCTCTCCAGGCAGTAAGCAGAAGATATAACCGGCCCAAAGGAGTGAGGGTGAGTAAAATCTTGGCCAATCCCTGGGGCTCCCTGGCAGAGGCCAACAATCTCTGTACAAAAGTCCTGCAGATGAGGACTCTGTCCCCCAGTGATGCAGGGCTGAGGGTCCTCAGGAGCCTCCATGACATCAGGAGGAGCACAAAGGACTGCTAAGGAGTCTCCTCTGTTGTTTGAGGTGGTTCCCCCAAAGACAACCCCACCCATGTGGGACAATTGCAACCTTCCCAGGAGTACAGTGATGAGCTCAGGACTTACCGGGCTGAGCCAATACCAAGGAGGGTCTGCTCTAAGGACTCTGCAGGAATGGGGGTTCACAGTTTGCATACTTGTAAATCTAGCAAGCACCTGGGGTGAGATGGCTTAGCTGGCAAACGTGCCTGCTGCTGAGCTTTGTGACCTGACTTTGATCCCTAGGACCCCCCCCCCCCGCATCGCTGAAAGAGAGCCAACTCCCCCAAGTAGTCCTTTGACCTCCACACATGGGCGTCCGTGAGCGGAAGCTCGAGAGAGAGAGCGCGCGCGCGCGCGCACACACACACACACACACACACAGCGAGCACTATTTTAACCTTTCTCCTTTCTGTGTGTGTGTATGGTGTGTGTGCGTGTGCATGTTTGCATACGTGTAGGCACACATGTGTGAATGCCTGTGCCTATGTGTGTCCGCAAACATGGAGGTCTAAAGTTGAGGTGGCTGTTTCCTTGGTCACTTCCCACCTTGTTTACTGAAGCAGAGTCTCTCGGGCTGAACTCGGAGCTTGCCCATTTGGCTAGTATAGCCAGCCAGCTTCCCCCCCCCCCGCCCC